ACGAGAGTTTGATTTTTCTTATAAATGGGTTTTTAGGGAACAGATTCACCTCCAGTACAGTTTATAACTTCATTTATTCGCACAAAAGACACAGTATCTGCAATGTGACAACTAGTGGAGTAATAGTATTAAAAAAAACCCATTACATGGCCCCGTCTTTTGAAGTATTAAGTCAGACTTCTCAAATGCTTCATTTTAAGATACAAAAGACATTTTTAAACATTAGCACACTGGCTTTGATAATTGTGCAGACTAAGATCTTAATTTGATACACTCAAATTGACATATGAATGCTGTAGCACAAAAACAGGCTCTTGACTCTTGAATCTGGGTCATGTCATGTCGGGTCATGATAAGGAACATCTCATACAACTGAGTAGTTTATTTTAACTGTAAAATAACTAAATGGTGCCAACATAAACTTAGAATTAAAAAAAAAGTGCTGCTACAGAGAAGCAGGAGGTAAATAAACTTTTCAGTGGAGGAAAAATACTGTTACAAAAGAAAATCAGACACACCAAAATTAAAACAAACTTCAATAACATGTAACATATGAGGAGCGATAAGCTCAAGTCTTTCCTGATACTCAGAGGAATAAACAAAGACTGTACAAAACAGGAAATATCTGACCCGATCTTTAAACACCAGCTTCTTTGAGGATATATCTCAAGATTACACATTATTTTATTTCTGGAAAATCTGTAAGAGCAAATGTCATGACACAGAAATGTTACATTTGGAAAACTAACCAAGATGTTAACTAAAATTTCTTTAAAGTTCTGTTTTTTCTTGGAGCTTAGCAGCAAGATTAAGCCACATCACTCAGACTGCTTCAATACAATTCCCAGCTGTATAAAAAGCTATGAATACAAGTCAATTTTAATATATAATGCCCAAACAAACCAAAAGAATTAACTGTAACTTACTACTGTGAAAAACACTAGAAGGCCTGGTCTGGGGCAAGTCAGGTGCTTCAGATGTGTAAAAATGTTACTGTTACTGTTACTGTGCAATTTCTATGAGAGTTACATATTACATATTTCATTACACTGTTTAATGAGATTTCCTATTTCTTTTCATTTTAGATCCTGCATTACTAAAACAGACATTAACCATCATCTAGCTAAGCTCCTGTACCAATATTTTTGCAGAAATACAAGGCTTTCTGACTCCACATTTTTTGAATTGGGTTTCATGAAAAAGACGACACATTAAGCACATCCAACAGCTGAGAAGGAAAGGGGAAACAATCTCAGAAATGAAAGAGATATAAACCCTGCACTTCAAGACAAACTGCCTTCCCAAATATGAAGTCGGCATAGACCATAGAGTTAGGAGTCTCAAAGAGGCGGGAGAGAAACAGCTCTTCCACAAGGTCACTCAGGCTAGCGTCTGTGTGCAACTCTCTGCACAAGACTGTAAAGCAGGATTTGAAAGGTAGAAGACGAGGAAGTCACGCTGACTTGTTTTCCACTCACAACCTACCCCCCCCTTCTCCTCCCTCAGACATAAATGAAATAAGCAACACTGAGGCATGAACAGAAAACGGCAAAACATAAACCACACAGCTGCACCTCTACACAAAGGTGCTCAACCACGCTTGTATTTCACCTCCTACCACATGAGAGGAACAGGGAGCACATGGAATGAAACTCCTCCCTGAAACACAGGGGTATTATCCCACCTCAAGAGCCTAAAGCACTTCTGTGGCCTCTGATGGAAGATTAGGCACCTCCACACCACACACAGGCTTGTCTAACACATGGCTTGCCAGCTGTGCTGTTGGTCCATAAGCACACACAAAACAAATATTTCAATGGCCGCCTAATTTATACAGTGTAAACCATCTAACCCTCAACTGAGTAAGGTTTCAGGATGATATTTCTCTACTTTCTTTCTAGTCTGGAAATGGAATATCTTTCTGTCCACTGGCTGCCACCCAGCGGCATTCAGCATTTTAAGAATGAAATAAACCAAATGATACTGGGGAATTATACACTCCTCACATTTCTAAAGCCACTTTGCATTGGCCTGTGCCCATGAACAATATGCAAGCTAGAACTAGTTGGATCTTTTTTATAACTAAAAAAATAATCCATGCATTTTCAAAAACTGCCTATCCCAATACAGAGTCATGGAGTGCAAAAGGCATGACGCTCCCTTCAAAAGGACACCAGTCCAGCTCATGATCTCCATCATTATATAGCACCTTTGTTCTAAAAGTGTGTTACAATCTGTGTCAACATAGGAGCATCAGCTTCAGTGTGCAAACTGTATATTTCACAAGCCTGACAAAAAGGAAAATAATTTTATCTGCAAATCAGCAATATATGGAGGAAGAAAAAAAAATCTTCTGGTCTCAGAATGAATGCTTCGCCCTTCAGGCTGAAAGGGTGACATTCGAAATAGCAGGATTCCAGGAAATTCACACGTCTGGTTTGCTTCCAAACTGTGACAAAGCCGAACTGCCGCCTCAATCCAGTTTCAGTCTTACAGCAACTGTTTCACCCACATCCTCAACTGCCCGGGCAGTGCTCTCCGAGCTCAGTACTGAGCGCACACGTTACTGCACGCCAGCAGCACCACAACATAAAAGACGCAGAGGAGACATTTCACGAGGCCCGTACTGTCAACCGCTCTGCAGATGACTTACAGGCCATCTGGGTGACATCAGGTTATTTTGTTAGCATAACAAAGGGCCTTCTTCTCAATGTTTGGGACTCCTACTTCAAGACTTTTTCTTGTGCTTCACTTTCTTTGTGAAGAAACAGAACAAGATCTCGAACATTTAAGGCTTCTACCAGTCGTGAAGCTGCCCCAGCACACGTCAGCTTTAAACAGAGTGCTCAGACTGCTGCCGTTTGGCTCCGTCTCAAGGCTTTCCACAGACAGATCCAGAGAGTATCAGCAGAAAAGAAGTGGGAACAGGCAATATATTCAGGAATGACGATCAGGCTCCTCTTTACACAACGAGTGGCAGGTGTATGAAGAAAACCTTCAAACGATGTGGTTAAATGCTGATGTGGTCGACCCTACCGCGCAGACATCGAGATCGATTCGAGTGCAACGATAAAACACCGCGAGTTCGAAACCTGAGGAATGCGATTCATGTTGCAGTCTGCAGCCTCACCCCCGAAAAACCTCACAGAAGGCTGGGGACGCGCCTCTCAGACATGAAAAACACGTCGGGATCTCTGAACACAGCAACATCAATGACTGCTCTCAGGAGCATGAGACCCACACATTCTCAGTTAACAGCTCAGCAATTTTCCCACATATAAAATAAAACAACACAGATCATGGAGAGGTTTCTCACAACCTTGAGTCCTTTTACATGATTTAATACCAGTAGTAGCTTTCTTTGTCATTCTGCAGTCATTTTACAGTTGTACATACAGTAACTATAAATACCCAGTTTCATCTGCAATTTGGAGTTATTGATGAATCAGCATTACTGAGCAAGAAACTGAATAATTAAATAACTGAAGAAACAATGAGCATGATTATTGTTTATGCACAGTGATGTCTAAAAGAAAAACAGCCGTACCTTCAGCCAAATGGTTTAAAAAAAATGTATAGAAAACTGCAGTTCCTTTTTAGGGTTTACCGTTTTTCAGTTTACATTAGAATCTGATGCAAGCCCCCCTAACCCAGAGGACGTTAGATAACTCCACAAAACGAACGATATGGTTATGAAAACTATTTTGGTAACATAAGCCACACTTTGTCTGGCCTGAAAGGTAAACTTTACATTAGGCTAATCAAGAATGTATTGGGGGGGGGACCACGTTTTACTTTCAAAAGCAGCACTGTGAATGACGCCTGGCTGTCAACTTTTCGGGCTTATATAACCCCAAGCGCTGCTGGATAACTGGGTTTTCTGGAACACGTTTTTTTCCCCCGATGTAAACAGCGACGCGGAGCTTGCTTTGGAGCCGAACAAAAAGGGAGAAAGGTTGCAAGGTGGTATTTTATTTGGTATCAAACAGCAAAGCTCGCTGTCTCAAGTTTTATGTCCTGCGACACTTCCTCACGGCGGTGCAGGGAGTATCGGTTCATTCCCGGGAAGTAAGCAGATAAAAAAAAAAACACTTTGTGCACTAAAATATACTGTAGTGTGTCGGTCGAAAACTCGGACTGTCAAATGATCATTAAGGGAGTCTAATTTTGAAAAGACGCACTACTGCGTAACTCCTACTGTAACTATTAATGGATGTGCCGGAGGCGAGCAAAACGCAAGCTTCAATAAGTCCACCAACATCTAACATTTAATGTCTACGCGCAATAATAAAAAAGAGAAACCTTCAAAAAAAGCGATGAAATAGCTCGAGAAGACGGCAAAACACGACCGCTGCTCAAAGTCATATCATTTAAGACTTTGCCCCCGGCAGTAAGAAGCGACTATTTCTGTAGACACAAAATGTAGCACTGCAGCCAACTTTCATTTTCTATTAATAAAAAAGACAAACTAGCTTAATGAACACTCTGTGTGAAGGTATCCAAGAGGTGTCGCCAATTGTGAGCCGTTTTAATCTATTTCTATAAACTGAAGAGCCGTGAAGCAGGATAGTGTTACGTAATGGCTCTTCTATTTCAAATAAACAGACAATTTACGCCGCTGACACCGAAATAATTACATAATTCACTAATTATCCTCAAACCAGTTGGTCCCGGGGAAGACTAACATCGTTAATACCGAGATCAAAACTTCGGGTCCGGCGCACCGCTAATCGTTTTAAAACCTAATTACCCAATTAATATAATTACAAACACCGTGCGTGGAGAAGAGCTAGCGGGGCAGACAAAACCTGCGCACACATACAGACATCAATAAATTATTTGTATTAAATATTAATCATATTTAAGAATAATAATGTTTATTTCACCCCAAGAGCTCGTTATCATATATTTAGCGAGACCGCACACGCTGCGTTTGCGTATGCAAGACAAGATATTAGTGTTAAATTATGTCAGTAATTAAGGTACGTATTTAAACGTACCTTAGAGGGGTTCAGAGAGGTTTCGGGGTGAATTCTGCACCTCCTTTTTCTCCCCAATTTGCTCTTTTCAGTGAGTTTTGCGAGAAGAGAATGTGACGATAAATTACAACAGGTCCATGTTGTGCCCATCGCTGACACAGGAGTCTCCACCGGAGCCGCAAACATATTGCCTGAACTTTTTAAATACCCCCCACCTACTAAAAAAAAAAAACCCGACCCACGCGTGTTTCTACCCGAAGGGGAAATTCGGGGTCGCCAGTCAGGCAGACGCGAAAGGAAGGAGGCGCCCTGCTTTTGGAAATAAAGCGAGGGTTTTTTTAAAAAAAGAATAAAAAATGAACTTTACCTGCAAGAGGAGATGCCTGTTAGTTTCTCTCTCATGTTGATTTGAAGTCGTACAAACCTTTGCAAAGTTTCAGGAAGGAAATCAAGGCGCGGAAAAATACTCAACTCTCATCATTTCCGCTGTCAGAAAATGTGCCGCGGCTGAAGCCAATTGAACACGTTTCTTAGAAAACAACGAACAGAAGTGCCTTGCGTTATCATTTTTTTCTCTCTATCTGTTATCACTTCGGTTTTTCCTTTAATTAGTCATATTGCAACGGAGACATACTTGTATTGAAACTTCGGAGATAATGTAACCTTTCGCCTCCTGTTCTCTGAAGACGATAGTTTCCGATTCAGTAACCGAAACACGCAGAGCAGCAGATCTGCACTTCGACGGTTTATTATGTAAATGAGAAATACCTTAAATTACTAGAAAGAGTAAGCCTTAAGACCTTTTTTTATGACGTACTAGAAAACGGAGCATTAAAAATGCCCGAAAGTGACCCCTATCTGCAAGGTTCTGGAACTGAAAACTGGCCGTAGAGTAGCTAGCGGCATTTGTGCATTAATATTAAAGTTAGGCTCCCTTTTAGCTGTAATAAAGTCACATATTGATCGTGGGACAAAATATATCATGCAACATAATTCATCCAGGGCGTCTTGACAGTGCAAGCGATTGCCCCCAGCTGGAAATTAGTCGTTAACGTTGAAGTCACGAGTTACGCCCTTGCAGAATTTAAAAAGCCAAGGGTGTTTTGTGGATGGTTTTAAGAATATTTCCAAACATTTTTATGATCACATCCCGATTTCCGCGGTGAAGGACACAGCTCTTTCCGAGCCAGTACTTCAGTGCTGTCGAGCCCCTGGGGATGTCGGTGAGGCCGGTATTTCTTCATGCAATGCAATACCCGAGTCTCTCTCCAGGCATGCAGGCCATGTGAGTGTGCACCGGGGTGTAGGAGCGCTGAGCCACACACAGGGAGAGGACGAGGCTGGGAGCAGCGCTTCCACAGCGTAGGAAAAGGATAAACTGGGACAGGGCTGTGCGTGACGTGTTGTTTTCGGTGCCGAACTCGAAGCCGCAGGTAGTTATTTCTTTGCAGCGAATTTAAGCTAAATTATAACGCATCGTGCAAAATAACGAATATGCTCTACACTTGCAGCCCAGCGCATGAGCTTAAAATAAGCTGCATTTGAGGAACAGCAATATATTCTTGTAAAAACCGCGTCGAATGAGGAAGAGCATTCGTACATTTAAATTCACACTTTTAAGGTTATTTATAAGGGTACTGATCTATGACCGCCGTCACGTCTTAAGTAGATTCGGTTTTTTTTTTAAATATGAAAGCCTTTGTTTCTGCTGACATTAAATCCGCAGGACATATGGATAGCTCGTACGATGATGTCATTTCCTGTGCTACAGTGCCCTCTGTCACCGCACTGGCGACTTGACCACTTTTTTTTTGTCCACATATAAAACTGCCACCTGTAGGTCTATCTGTGCTACTGCATATCACGGCTCCCAGCCTTTGTGATCCTTCACTGTCAGCTGTTCAGCCCCTGAACATTTTCCATAGTTTGTCTGCTACTATTATGTCGTACAGGATGCACAATCACAACAGTTCTTTAGTGTATATAATAAGTTATTATTAACATTGCTTTAATGCTGTTATTATTAGTTATTAGTTATTATTATTAGTTATTCCCCCCAGTTATATCTGTTCTAGATATCCAGTGCAACTTCAGGCTATTCTAATTCAGAACTCAAAATACACAATACATTTGTTCAGTTCATTACATTTTCAGGGCAAAACAGCCCAAGTTAAAACACTGGAAAGCAGAAGGACACTACTGGGCAGGCACCTTGTTTTAAATTAATAGGAAAGTTAAAGAAAAGGGCATTTAGGTAATGAAATAGAATAGCTATTTTTGAAAGTCCACTGTTATAAAAACTAGAACTCCTACACAGGCTATAATAGAGCATGTGTGATACCAAAAGGCTCCTGGTTTGAAGTGTGGTCTCCTTGTGCCCTGTCCTTGGGATAACACACAAATTCAATGCCCTAACGTACTGTGATTCTGATAATAATATATCGAAGCAATCTTGCATGAAAGCCTTTTCAAATTACTTCTTGGCCATTATTAAGCTACAAAATGAAAATATGCCAGAGCTTTCTCTAAATTTACGGAAATTCCATAAAACGTGCGGAAATTCAAGAGGAATGTCTAGACAAATAAGCACCAGCAATAGTTCCTGCTGTGTCTCCAATTGCAAATTAGTGTTACATTACTAATTTTATTTAACCCTTGCTTGTACTTTGAAGATCTTATATGAATTACAAATGAAGAAGTGTCCAACCAGTTGGATCTACTCAGACCCCTGGGCTAAAATGACCAAGATTGCACTGAATCATTAAATTGTCCCATCATACACCCACCGCCATGAAATTCTGGATTTTCTGCAATCAGTATTGCACACTGCTGCAGTGTGACACTCAAGGGAACAGATCTCATTATAGCACATCCTAACAAACAAGGAATGATATAGAGGGGTCACCTAAAACAAAAATAGATCTTAAAATCAGAACTAAATACATTTAAAATGTTTTCTTCAAATATGTCTTGAAGCTATCCCGCAGATAAATTGATCTAAAATCTGACATTCGATACTTGTTTAGTGATGTGTTATCAACATGTCAACTCCAAACACGCGTGTCAAGTCCTTCTGGCATCCCTGGGTATATGTATTAGTGCACAGGAGGAAGGGCAATAAAGTTCACAGTATTTTGATCCCGAAAATAAGTACCTTTCTAACAAAGGACAGAACCCGACAGGTAATAACTTAGTACTTTCTTTAGAAGAATGGATGATAGTTAATCTTAAAGTTAGAGTTAAAATAACTGGATCACAGCTGTTGATCTCAACAACAACAAAAAAGTAATCTGGTAACAGCTAATATAAAGATAACAGCTGCTGCAACTAGTGAACACTTTGATGAAGCCTGTTACTAAACACCAGGAGAATCACAAAGCCACCAACATGCATCATTCATAAAATAAAATAAACCGAAGCAGCTCTTGATAAGGTGTGGAAAAAAAGTGCAATCAACTACTATCAGAGAAAATCAGGAAAATGGAAGATGAATCATGTAGAGCTGAACTCAAAATAGACAATGTAAGATTAAAACCTGCGATACCACATGTCGAATTGGTAAATAAACAGTTGGCTTCGAGTGGAGGCTCAAGTTACCATCATAAAACAACTGTGAAAAAGACAAATAATAATAGATGCCATTATCCTAAAATGAGAAGGACACCAGCTAGTTAATCATGTGAAATAATAGTTCATGACTCACCTTACACAGACACAGAGGTATAAGGTGTGAAGAAGATGAAAAAAGCTTCACAACCAATCCAGACACTACATCAGCCATTTATTTAGGACCCAGGGAGGGGAGCTACCTAAATACAGAGACTGGGCAAACTCAGCTTAAAGGAGGGATGTTTATTTATCTCCGGTTGTTTGCTTACAGTGGTTTACAATCAAAGGGTTTTCAAAGAAAATGGTTCTGAGAGCAGCTCACTCCACTGTTGTTCCCAAGGTCTTCAGCATCGGAATCTGCCACAGTGCCTTCTTCAATCTCGCCACGATCCCTGCGAAAATCAATCCTGCGGCAGTCCTGCACTACGGAACATTTTAATACTCTATATATACACCTCTAAATAAACTTGTGTAGTTTATACTCCTGCTGACCGATCCAGTCCCAGGAAAGTACTGGGGCTGTTGGATTGGAGAAAACCGCAAATAAAGTGAATCGCACAGATTGTGATTGTTCCTATTGAAAGAGGCAAATTAGAAATGCCGTTTAATGACAGATTACATGCAGAACTGTGGTAGAGGAGCCAGCCAAGATGAATCTCCCCGGAGCAGTGGCACAACAAGCTGCCAAGGCTAAGAAACACTCGTTGTAGATTTATGTCCCACTTGGGATAAAGAGGACTAAGTACTTTACATAAAATTAAAAATTATTTCACAATAGTGTGTCCTGTATTATTCTTATCCTATGGATTTTTGGCTATTGCCCTGATTTGATTACCCTGTAGTTACAGAGAGGATCCTTTCTTCTGACTGCTGAAATTGCACATACACCCAACACGCACCATAACATGCCACATTTCTATAATCACTTTGTGCAGTTTAATCTACTGGTGAAACTAGACCCTTACATCGTTCTTGATGCTGAACTTATTCTAGTATGCATTGTGAACTTTACAAGTTTTGTTTCTGAAAACACAGACATTTCCCAGATGGATTCGATTTTATTTCAACATGAGTACTAAATGTATACACTAAGTACCATGATGCTTCTAACCAAAGAACATAAAAATGAAGTTGCATGAGTAAACAATATTCACCCATCCTACCGCTGAATGATGGTACCAAGAATACTTTGTTTTCAATTAACTCCACTGGAAAGGGCCTTTTAAGTTAATTGGTCCATATTATTCTTTAGGTTGCACTTAAAAAAGACAATTACCATGACAAAGCTTGTACAAGCAAGAGGTCTAGTGTACAAGAACACTTACACAGAAACACACACTGTTTGTTTATACTATGAACTTCACGGCACCAACAGTAGAGCCAAGCACTGGACAAAGGACCAACGCAGCTCTCGATTAGAGCTCTGCATTTCACCAGCTCCCTGAATCCCCCCTGGTCACATTTTCAATATATGCGGCCTATACTCTTTCCACCCGCACTCTGTAGCCAAGCACTGCAGCTGCTGGAATGGATGTTATTCGGCATTTGGCTGAATGACAGACAAACCAGCTCTTGTAACAGTGCCTTCATGGCTGATCAGGAAACCAAATACACAGTGGCATTTAAATAAAGAGATGATAAGCCCTAAAAGACTTAAACCAGGGATACCAACCTTCAATCTTTGGGGGCAGCAAGGTCGTCTACTTTTTACCAAAATGAAAGCAATGTTGATTTGAGTATTTTCCATACACTAATATGCTCTTATCAATGTTGCTGCCAATTTAAATTTCGTACCTCAAGCAAATTTAGAGTCTTTATAAAATATCATTTTACCCAATTAATCAAATCCTCAGATCAATTAGGTAACTGAAAGTTCACCTGTAAAATTAGGTGAACACACCTCAGCCTCCCTTAAATTGACTTTGGAAAGACAAATATGGCTAATATGTTTGTGCGCTGCACATTTCAATAACTATTGTATTCTCACGTACCAAGAGCATGTATCCTCTATTCTAAGAACACTCTATAAAACAGCTTGTTTAAAGGCATTTCAATACATCCCCACTTGTGTATAATGAAGCAGGAAAAGAGAAACATCAAAATAATACAGCATTTAAAACAAAGAAAAAAAAACTTTTTGATTTGAATAAGCACCTTTTAACCACACCTTAAGGGCACAGAAACATTAACACCATTGAGGAGTGAATGAGAGGATTTAACCATTATTGTGGAACTACATTTAATAAAGGCAGTTCTTCACCAATTACTGATCTTACTGATACTCTGAGCTCAGGTTCACCAGTATCAAATACTGTTTTAAAACGGTTAAAAACAGACATGCTTAGGAAAATATAAAATTCCCTTCATTGTAACCCACACATATAGACGTATTGTAGACCTTTTAAGCACAGAGGTTATTTATTACTGCTGAGTTACAGTTCAGCATTACAAGTGAACTGTCATTCAGCCAGTCTTTCTGCTGACTCAAATGTTTTGCTACTTCAGCCAGTGTCGTACAACAAATAGGTAAACAATGCATGGCTCTGTTAGAGTGAAAAGGCACATTTTGAACTTGAGTGCTTTAAAGGCCTAATGGTATCAACACATTCAGCAAAAAATGCATATTGATTGTTTGACAGTCCTGAAACCAACAAGATTTTTACAAAGGGTGTTAATAAATGTGTAACATAGTGACACACCTGCAGAAGCGCTCACAGATGAAATGTTTCTCCTTCCTTCTTTTCAACATGTAATTAATAATACGTCGGTTTAACTTTGCTCCAGAGTAAATGCTTCTGTTTCTGTAATGTACCTCAGTTAGGAGAGATAGTTTAATATTGAATTTTAGGCAACAGAACACAAAGTGATTGTACAAATGGACCATGAAGACCAAGACGTTTTTTAAACAAGTTAGGGATAAAGTATTAGAGATGCACAGATCAGGAGAAGGTTACAAGAAAATGATTAGCGAATGCAGTTTCCTCCCGCAGTCCAAAGACATGCTGGTGGGTTAACTGGCTTCTGGAAAATTAGCCCTGGTGCGAGTGTGAGTATGTGTCTGTGTCTGTTGGCCCTGGGATGGACTGGGGTCCTGTCCAGGGCGTACCCCGCCTTGCGCCCTTTGCGTGCCTGGACAGTCTCTGGCTCCCCCATGGCCCTGAATTGGAAGAAGCTGTTAGAAGATGGATGTTGGATGAACCACTAAGCTGCTCATGCAAACTCTGGTCCATTTTGACATGCTTTTATGTGTGGTAAAGACCTTAGACGTGACTTTGTTCTTGCCTTTCTGAAGACTCACATAAAATGAGGATTAGTGGAAACTTGACTCTCATTCAGGTGGGAATTCATCTGCTAGCACTGATCTTCCAGATGACCCCTAGCACAAAGCCAACACGCTGAATAAAAACAGGCACAAAGCACAAAGTGCCCACAGCAGCACGTGCAAAAATGCCTTGTTGAAAAAGTTCAGATGTGAACATTATTTAGGCTGCGGTTATCTGGATGGCATTTAATCAACCCATTTAAGTGCCATTTACTCAACCCACCAGCAGACAAATTAATTGTGAAAAGTGTTGTATGATATTTGAAACAACAGTCTACAGTCACACATAAACACACTAGGCAAGATGATAAGATGTCATACTCTGCACAAAGGAGAGGGCTCCCATACCAAATATCAATTCACAATAATGGTGCATTGTTTGTAATCACCAGCTGTGTGGTTCCCGCTAGTATGTCTTAAGTGTTTCCATAATTATTTCCAGTACCGCAGATGTAGAATACTGTATAGGATCTTTTTCTCGGATGCTTCTTTATTGCTGAAGTTTAAAACCAGAGAATCTTTAAAACAGTGTTAAGTAAAAAAAAACGCAATGGAAAATTCACTACTGTGCTAGCTTACTAATAGTGTCCACAGTAATGACAGGTTTCATTCTAAAAAAAAATAATACAAGGCTTCTAAAAATACTTCTGTGCAAAACGGACTGAGACATTTTCATGTGATATTACACCTTCTTTCCATCTCTATAAATACAGCACGCAGATCTTAACTTTTCTCTGTAAACATAAAAAAAAAACACGTGAGGGGAAAAACAATTGCTCACCCTTCTACGTGTCGGTCTCACTTACTTTATTTCTTCCTTAAAAAAAAAAACGAGCTGGGGGCGGGAGCGTAGCCAGACCTCACTGGCTCTGCTGCCATTCGGTCCTGAGGTCCGCGATCTCCTTGCCGTACCAGTCGTGCAGCTTCGAGAAGCAGACCGTGCCTGGGGACACGGGGCTCTCCAGCGAGGCGGTCTTCCTGCGGGGAGGGACCGGGGGGGGCCGAGCGCCGTCCTCGCTCACGTTCTCGTACGGCGGCGGGATCCGAGATCCCTGGACGGCGCACGCCGGGTACCCGTTCGGCGCCTCGGCCGGCCTGTTCCAGGAGACGCCGTTCTCCTTGGCGTGGGCGCTGGGCAGGAGGAGCACCTCTTCCTGCTGGGAGCAGCTGTAGGTGGCCTGCAGCCCGCCCGCGGGGCCCAGCGTGGCGACACCGGCCGCCGCCGCCGCCGCGGGCTTGCCGCGCGCCGCCGGTCTCTTCTGGGGCCGGTGCAGAGACCGCATCTCCTCCAGCTGCTTCTCCAGCTCCCGGACCACCAGCCTCATGTAGTCGAAGCTGGCCCGCGACAGCGCCTTCACCCAGGACTCCATGGCTGCCTGGCTCTCGGCTGCCATCTTGTAGACGCGGGACTTGGCACAGTCGAACTTGACGGCGAAGGCGTACTCCTCCGAGGACTCGCACAGCTCCACCGTGCAGCCCTCCAAGATGATCACCCCGATAGGCTCCTTGCTGTCCCTGTCCTCGAAGTAGAAGAGCATGTTGCCCTTCAGGACAAACCAGCGCCGGATGTAGGCCGTGTTGCGCTCCCCCTTCTTGAACAGGAACCCCGTCTTGTCCGGAGGGGAGTCACAGGTGGCGTAGTGCACCACGCTGCGCTCGTTCAGCTTCATGGCTACACTGCCTACAGCTCTGCAGACAATAAGAAAATACGTGAAAGGAGATTTTCTCTCAGAATATTTATCGCAGTATTTTCAGAAGGTGCAGCCACGAAGGGTAAAACAGTTCGTTTATGTCAGAGCTACTTTGCTAATACACACAAGTTCCAAGTGTAGGAACCATATACCAATTTGCACTCCTCCAGGGGAAAACAAGCAGAACAATAGAAATAAAGTGACTTTAGAACAAAAGATTAGCCAATGCAAAAATAAAGCACATGCATGCCACTCCTGGGGCTGTGGTCCGGCTTTAAGAAATAGACTGGATTACTTTCCACATTCAGGACAAGTCTTGGTGCTGTTCCAACTCTTCTGCTGCGCTCTGCCTTTTAAGCTCATTGCCCATCTGTCCAACACTTACTGACACTTTGAGCTCTCAGTGAAAGTCAGGTCAGTTTCAGACAATGTCAAAGGACTGACACAGCTAAAGAGATAAACTCAGAAAAAACACCGCTTCCAAGTCTTCAAACATATCTGGGGGTAAAATAAACTTACTGTATCTTCAAAAGAAACTTACCACTATGCATGTTCTTTTCCAGTAAAAAAATAAAATAAGCAGAATAATAAATTGGATACCGATTATATATTTAGTGTCACTCTGATTATGTGATCGTTCAAAACTGTCTTTGATGCACTTGAGTGACTGTTCAATAAAATGTCAGTCTAACTGCTACAAAAAGTCTTGTTTTTCTTATGATCATTTGTTGCAATGATTTCTGAAGCTTCGTTAATTGTGTTTTTTGTACACAACGGCTGATATAATAATTAATTATAATTATTATAATATCATAATTAGCTACTAGTTAAGGTTTGATTTGTCAATAGGTCTCCAGGTCTATTAAGTACAGATCTAACAGGAAGGGTCTTTCACTCATTTCTTATTGTTCATGTCACAGTAATGACAATGTGAGCAAAGAACTAAACAACTTTATTGCCTGTGCACAAAGAAAACTGAAAAAGGGGACATTGTTAATGGCTGTTACATATTCAAAACCAGTCTCACCTGATCTGGGCCAACTAGACTGTGGAAATTGGGGGATATATAGAAGGAAAACTGAATACTTCTACATTTCCAAAACAAAGGAACATAAATGTTCCTAATTCTGAAAGGCACTTCCTACACTGGGGAGAGTATTGTATAAAAATGTATAATTTGCGTTGTTCATATTATTAATTATAAAAGAGAAAGAAACATTTCTACAAATCTCTGACCATTGAACCTCACTTAAAGTGAAGAAACTTTTTCAATTGAACAATTTCCAAGTGTAACAATAATTTAGATATCAGACAAACAGTGAAACTAATTTGTAAGTTCCTTTTTTGGGGTAAATTTAAGTACTGTAGTCGTGAAGTGTCATAGTACAAGCAGTCCCCATTATAAATCACAGTGCTATACCTTGTTTCACATTGACATTTATAAATTAAGGAACTCGACTGAAAAAAATCTCTGCACTTAAATAGTTTTTCAACACATCAAAAGCCAGCAGTTTAGGTGGTTTGTGGATTATTTTGCTCTGGAAATTAAAAATGATAGTGAACACTAAAATCTAACATTTCACATTGTTCTTCATGTAGACAAAGCTGTTCCACAAGACTTAGATTTGAATCGTTATGCCCCAATACTAAATTTGAGTTCTTATCTCGCAACACATCTCTGATCCAAGGTGTGATCACTAACTTTAAATGCATGAACAATGCATTAAAAAAATCTATCCCGAAGCAGTGATTAACATTGTTGATTTTGACGAGACCATGACTCAGGAGTTGCTGATGCTATTTATCTATTTCTATTTTATTTTTTTAGGAGTTATAGATACATTAAAAGCACACACAGGCATCCGAACTGTATGATGGGGATGTATCTCTAATTGATTACATTATTCCTTATGGATATTTATTCCCCTAAATCATTTCACTGCATTATTTAGAAACATAACCTGGACTTATAACAGAATCCTCTATAATAAATTTGTTTAGCCACAAGTGAACACACACTCAGTCTAAATTAAGGTCCCTAACCTGACTCTATTCCAATAATTCTTATGGGAAAAGCCTCTTACCTGCTTTGAGCCGCACAGCACAGTATATGCTCTTACAGTCTCTAAACCCTCCTTTTTCATATTGTTATGATTCATTTTCTGTCACTCCTGCTCTCCAGAGGGTATAACCACACCACAAACTTTAAAGTAAGATCATTTAGATCATTTTCACAGGTGTAGTGGACAGACCTCATTATTATACCCATGAAGCACCATGGCCATATGAAATAAAAGCAGGTCTACTCACGTTTCTTTTCCATTTCCTGAAGCACACGGACACTACGGAGCAGCCAAGAGGCCTAAGGACACTCACAGCGCCCCAGACCAGAGGAGGCGGGACTGCTCATTCTCCTCTGCTCCGTGCTGAAAGAGGGAGCACACAGCGGGCTCTGACACACCGGAGGAACAAAATGGTGGGGGAAGAACAGCTCCTTTTTCCGCTGAACAAAACAGGCAAAGGGCAGCAACATGACGCCACGCAGCTCCTGCAATCACTTTGTTCTCACACTCCAGAGCTTACAGCACAAAAATGCTTACATGTTTATCGAAACATACAGACCCTGACTAGAAGTTCATCACCTTGACAGATGCCACTCTCACTTCCTCCATTGAACCGGTTTCCACAGTTCCTCCCTTCTCTCTGGCTGCATGAGATCACCCTGTACTCACACACTCCCAGAAGGAGATTCACAGAGGGTCTTGATCTGATGAGTGCTACAGTACATCAGGAAACCCAAACCTCCTCTCTTCTCACAGCAATAAAACATCGATTTTGCAGGTCAAAGTAGGTCTCTAGGAACCAGGGCAAAACCCATGGCAACACAGGAGTTACAGGCAAACTCCACATGGAAGGAGCAGAAATAAACGTTCCGGTAAGCTACTGTTTATTTTCTGCAGAACCGAGTAAGAGTGGTTCATTTTTTATCCAAACCGTTATAGTTCAAGTTGGTTTGGGAGTGTTCATTACTTAGACGCAACTGAAAACAGTTACCAGGTCATAAGAACATAAGAAATGTTAACAATGAGAGGATGTTGTTCTGGTCATCTGGACAATCGGTAGTTAGTAGGTTACTGATGCAAGGGATCACATCCCGACCTTTCTCGAAGGAAGCCAGGACATTGGCTTCAGCCACATGGTATGGTGGTTTGTTCTAAACTCCCTCAGTCCCACAAGCGTTTGGGGAGAGATGTGACTAAAAAAAGATTCAGGAGTCACATCCGAGGCCATTGGAACATTTATAGGATATTCAGGATCACCTGAGACAGCATTTTCCACCTCCACAATCCAAGCACGGTTGAGTTGAGTGGATGGGCTTTCTTGTGGAAGAACTGTGTGCCGCTTCCCTCTTGCAGAATCCAGACATTGCCGGACGGTGGACCCGTCCCGGCCACACGCAGCGCCTTATTATAAAGTGACTGTACACTGACGTTTTCATTTTTTTTGTGCACTATGTGTACTTGCTAGCGACATTAGTACAATGGGATGACTTCCGTCTGATCTTTCAGGTAACTGACAAGATTCTGCTCGTTTGAAAATCTGTGGTTATACAGTGTTCCGCGGACTATCTACCTATAATTATTTCATTATCTCTGATCACTCGTTTATTTACTATTTAACCAGTTTAATCATACTTAGCCTTCAGGGCGTTACAACATTAAGCGCTGTCCGACACACATCCATTCGTGGCTCAGCTGCTGGTTTGAGCTTAATTAAGCCATTTCTCGCCCTGTGAACCCAAGACACACACAACGTGCGTCTCTCGACACATTTGCGTTTATTTATCTCGGCTACAGATAAAGTTTCGCTTTCCACGGATTCAACACACGTCCTTTAAGATATGAAAGAATGGCACACTTGGTTACTTTTTCAGATCTTGCTTTCTGAGGTGTGAGATGTGTGAAATGTGTGATACACACACTTCTCCTAGCGTGAGAACATTACTTAAAACTTAATTACTCAGTGCAAGAAAGAAATTCTTGTATTAACATCATTCCAGTGTTACACGTATAGTGCATGTACTGTAGCTCCAAGAATACTTACAGGATTTTTCCATTGTGACCACACAAAATAGCTCCACTAAGTAACACGAAATTAAAACGTCTTCCTTAACGTTGCTCCCATGTAACACATTAGACATTTTAAACCGAATCACAGCAACAAAAAACAAGTTGTATTTGTTCTTCTCGATTCCTACGAAAACAAAAGATCTCGCGTGTCCAGCGCTGGGTACATTTTATAAATACCCCGATGATCAACACATGCGCAGTTTTGTTTCTGTTTTCATTTTCAGGAACCAAAAAAAAAGTTCAACGGCGTTGTTTCTTAAAAACCCCGGCCGGGGGTTTCTTTGTTGGGTTGCACCGGCTTTTTTTTTTTTTCCAATAGATAACCATGCATTTTATTTTAAAAAAAAGCCTTCATGTTTAGAACGGGGCAGTAAACTTACTCGGTCCGCCGAAGCAGGCGGCTCCTCCGGCTCGCTGTCGGCGCTGCGGGCGGGGGGGCCCGTCAAGGACGGAGGGAGACATGTGTCGGGGCTTGGGATTTCATCACAGCGCCTCACTCCGTGCCATGCACGCCAACGGGTTGTTTTTCGCCTCGTTAACCCACCCCACCCGGGCACAGACGATCTTACGGAGCAGTTTTACTCGGGCACTGAACTGAACTGATGACACGTCCCCCTTTTTCCTGTCTCTGGCGCTGATGCGCGTCACATGACTGGAGTTTCGACCAGGATGAAGTCGGGGAAATGCCAGAGGCAGACTTTGCAATGGAAGTCCTTCAGACCCTGTTTAAGACGCAGCGCAACGCGGCTGTGCCGACCGCATTTCTGTTTCTTCCTGCCTGCCAGAATAAGCAAGAAGGAAGAGCGCAGTTCTCCTGCAGCCTTAGTGTTTGCGGAGCACTCGTAGACTCCGCTCTTTGTAGTTATTTCAATGGCAGAAGCACTGCTGACACAAGCCTGAACAAAATACAGTGTTCATAATTCAAATTGCTAGTATGTTTATACATATATATGCATTCATCTTTCATTTCAGGATTGCAAGGTAATACAGGAAGTCTCAGTTTCATGGTCTTGAAGAGCCCCTGTCCAGGAGGTTTTATAGAATACCATCAAACCTGGTCTACTTCTAAAGTCCTGGAACGATTTTAGACTATAATTAAAATAATTAATTGAAGAGATCACTTGGGCTAAAAGAATCTGAATTCCTTCCCTCAAGGACCGCAGTTCTATCCATTTTCTAACTGCTTCTTCCAGTACAGGGCCACATGAACATGGAACAAGGGGAGAACGTACAAACTGCACACACAGCACCCCCGGTCCAGAAGTGAACCCAGGACACCAGCTCTGCAAGACAGCAGTGCTGACCACTGCACCAGCATGCCACCCACCTATTCCTTGGAAAAAAGAAAAAAACCTTGCTTACTTGTTTTCAATGTTTAGAAACTCGAGATTTACTAGATTGAGGCTTTCCAAAATCAGGGTTGTAGGTCTAACATGCTGCCTTGTCATCCTCTGCTTCTTCTTATTAAAATGACCAGAAAGTATCCACACACTCCAGAAGGCTTTATAAACATGGTCTCTAATGGGACACAGAATGTGAAACTTTAGCCCCCGTTTACACTGATATGAGGTATAATTAGATTAACTCGATGATACAGGAGAACAGTCACTGCAGTTCATGAAAGCATTTAGCAGTCCTGGCCTACAGGAGAAAGCATTTGAGATGCCATTGCAGAAACACGTCTGACAACCTTTTCAATCAAACAAATATTTTTCCTGTTTAGTGAATTGCCTCTTAGCCACTGTTTTGCACCTCACAGACTTCTCCGTCGCAACACAAACAAACAACAAAAACATTAGGCTGCCGTCGCGTCATCCAGGTGGGGCTGCACACTGGTGGTGGTGGAGGGGAGTCCCCATTACCTGTAAAGCGCTTTGAGTGGACTGTCCAGAAAAGCGCTATATAAGTGTAAGCAATTATTAATTAGGGTAAAAAAACATTATGAGAAACAGTCACATTTTGAAAAGGATTTTTTTTAGCTTTATTTGGAGTGACAGAGGTGGCACAACAGCAGGGTGACTGGAGAGCTCCCCTGTTTCCACAGCAGGGGCATCACAGCACTGCATTATGGGTGGAGGGAGTGGGTGCATCGAGCATACTGCCTCTCGTTGCTCTGGCAACAATCACATGATCCAGGTTTGCTAGTGTAAGAGAACAGCCTGGACTTCACAGAGAAAGACAACTTCAAACTCACACTCGTGCTGCACTGCTACTGCATAAGTCCCACTGCCCTGTGAAAATCAAAATGATCACACAAATTTCACAACTCTGTCACCACTGAGGTATGCAATTCCAAAGATATCTCACGGAGTACTTTCTCTGTCTTGCACAGAATTGAAATGATTTCAAAATGATACAATAAATATAATTTTTAACAATTCACTAGTACAGATTTTGATTCAGGATTGTACACAGACGAACACAGTTTCAGCCCATTATCTAGGTATTCGAATAAATAAATAAGCACAACAAGAAAGAAGAAAGATCATGGTCATTTAAAAATCCATTATGTGTAATAAGAGCTGTGAAAATTGTAATAGCTGTGAAAATATGACCACCCAGAAGAACATATAGTACAAACATATATACAACAATGTACAGGCAACAGTTTTTATTCTTACACCAAAGAAGGAGCCTGAGGACAGAACAAAAACGTATCCCCCAAGATATGTTTCCATGCTTTAATGCTGAAACACAAGCAGCGAAGGACAAATGGATACCACACTTTCACAGTAAAACCCTGGGAGCTACAGTAAAGGTGTCCCAGACAACTCTGCCCAGCCATGATTTACTGGTACTCTGCTAGCTGCAGCAACCTGCACTGCAAAGGAACATCTCCATGGCTTCAGCTATTCAAAACTCCCTCAGACATTTCTATCCTTCACAGTGATGGGGCAAGAGGAATATGTGAATAAACACCCAGGTGTTTCAAGTTCAAAGTTAATTAAGGTTAAGGGGCTTCAGAGTGCAAAAACCTTCCAAGTCTTTTGCATGGCATATACTGTAGGTTTGGCTACAGTTTGGAGATTGCAAGCTGGACTCCAGAACATACTATGAGACAGCATGGACCTGATTCGTGCCAGAGGTCTGCTTCAGTAAGGGCAGCCCTCTCAGTCTGGCTGTGGCTGGTAACTAGGGTAGCTAGTTTAAAGGAAGGATCTGGCTCAATGACTGAGTCTTCAGGAACAGATTGCTAGTCTCCCCGTGCTGTTTAATAAGTTTAATAAGGAAGTCCATCCACCCATCAATGTTCTACCCACTTTCCCAGCAAGAAAGAGACACAAGGCATGATACACCCTGGACAGGACTCCAGTCCATTGCAGGGCAGACAGACACCAACACCACAGGGCCCGTCTTCCCAGAAGCCAATTAACCTACAGCATGTCTTTGGATTGCGGGAGCAAACCAGAGCACAGGGCAAAAGACCCATGATGACGCAAGGAGAACACACAAACTCCACACAGTAACCCAGCAATTGAGCCAAGGGCCACAGTGCTGCGAGGCAGCAATGCTAATCACTGTGCCACCAAGCTGCCCTTAATAAGGAAATGTGTTATTTAAATTGGCTGGAAAATAATAGGCCTGTTCTTAGTCAAGAATGATCAAGCAAAGGGAACTTAACTTTAAAAATGTTCATGTTCTGCATGTGACACAAATGTGCCCAGCAGTGCAAGCAAAGTAAGTTTAAAGTCTTTTAAAATGGGAAGCTTTTCTTCTCCTTTAAACCATTTTTTAGGATTCTGCTGTGCCCCCATTTAAAACAGAGCACTACTAGTAATGATGGGACTGAAATCTTCACCTTCATCACTGTCAAATTATGACCATTTCGTTCTTTGCTGTTGGTTTTTAATATTTTTTCTGTTTTGAGGTGAAGTCTAGGTTATTCTTTATTATAAACACAATGATATTACCAGAAAAATGTATGCATAAGTTCTGAAGTGCAGGTAATAATGATCTCAGGAACAAAATTGTGTTTTTACACAACTCCATAGTAAAGAATTAGAGTTCAATTCACCATTCAATGAGCTGTGTCCTTCTCTGCCAAAATCATTATATTGACACTGAGCTGCCCACCCGACAGAAGGAGCATTGATTTGCAGAGACTAATTAGGTTCCAGTTATTGATAAGTTCACTGCTCCGCTGGATCATTTTTTATATGGCTTGATTGTTATTTTTAATGAAAGGTTCAGTAGCGCAACAAGAGAAACGACTGAATAAGGTACAGTACCTGAATCAATTACCTACTGACTATCAAACAGGCTAGATGGGCCAAATGGCTTTCACTTGTTTTTATGTTCTTATAGCACAGCTTTACACAACATCTACTACATGTGAACAACACCTGCCGCGGTACACCGTGCTGGAAGGTTCACTAGGAGTTACACTTGTTACTCAACCTACAGCTATTGAAACTGGTGCCTTTCTATTTCAGTGCGAGTGAGAGAAGAGGGTAGGGCTCCATTTTCATAGAGGCACCGATGTCAGCTTTATTTGCCTCTGAGATGCACTTACTGTGGGAATAGCCACTATATAAAAGAGTCACATACAACTTGGATTTGATTACTTGATTGTCATGAAATTCTAAATGCCAATAAACATAGTGGCAAAAGAAAACACAATTCTCAGAAAAAACTGCATTAAGGTAGCATTATTACTAGCCTTATTTCAAGATCTCATGCAGTTAGACATTTCTGATTGACGTCTTGTGCAAATGTTCAATGACAGAAAAAAATGTCATCATATCACCAGTGTATGAGACTAGTAAAACTAAAACCAAACTTTTCTGGAAACATTCACATATTTTGCAATACTGACAGAAACTCACCAAATTTGTATGAACAGACACGTGTAAAAAACCTGGCATTTTTCTTGTATTCCAGGAACAGGGAGCCAGGAGGTGAAAAAAAGGATGGTCGAGACAGTGAGGTAAGAGGAGGGATAGAGACACAGACAGGAGGAAGCAGAAGGAATGTGTTCAGATGGTAGAGAATTGTTGAGGACAGTCACAGAAGCAGGAGGCCTACTTTTCTCCTGACTCATGTGGTGTCAGGAATTCGTCACTGAAGGAAGCGGAGCAGACCGCTCGGAGCATGTCAAAGTGCCAAGCCAGACTCCACGGGGCCTGGACCCCGCTCCTTATCCCAGGACGTGGGGCCTGTCACAACGCCGGATCCTGGCGCTCGCCTGAAGCCTTCCACCCAGAGGCAGGACCCTCAGAGGGCCCGCGTTCCCTGGCGGAGCCGGGGCTGGGCAGGTCCTCTGGGGCGTTGACTTCGATGCTGGGAGTGCTGGGGCTGCCGTCGGGGTCCTGCGGGAGGGGGCAGCAGGTGTCGGGGGACTCGTCGGACTCGCAGACGAGGCGCTCCCTCTTAGCGCCGGTGCGGGGCGAGGGGCTGCGGGCGCCCGTCTCCCGGGAGTGAGGGCGCAGGTTGAGGCCCTGCAGCCGGGGCAGCGCCGGGCTGCGGCTGCGGCTCCGGCGGCCCCTCTGCTTGGCCTTGCCGGGGCTGGGGCTGCGGGACTTGGGCCGCAGGAGCACCACGGTGCTGTCGTCCTCCGAGCTGAAGTCCGAGCTGTCGGAGGGGCTGGAGCTGGGGGTGGAGCTGGGCAGGGAGATCTGCGGGGGGAGAGAGACACTGCTGCACGCTCACGCTGCTTCGACACCGTCAGAGAAGCACGAGCGCCACAGAGACAGGCAGTGCTGGACAGGCCTGAATTCACGCGGGGAACCGCGAACTTGCGAAACACCTTTATGTAAAGACCCAAGGTTCCAGCGTAAGAAAAAACACTGCTTTTGCAGTCTTTTCTAAATTCTAAAGGAACAAGGCTGCAGAGTAATCGGTTTGTTCTTTAAATCGATGAGATTCCTTGTATCGATATTGATATTGCTCAGTAATAATTTAACATGTGGACTTCAAAGACAACAAATGTTTGGAAAGTTGTTGTTCCAAAGGCTTTTTTTTTTTTCAGAACATATTCATGTAGCTCATGAAATGTTTTTTTTTTCTAAATACAGTCCAGGAAAAAGACTGCAGCCCTTTTGTGACTTTAAAAGGATGAAGAAATAATCCACCTGCTTCCCTGCTGGTACACAACATTAGGAAGATATGTACACGCATATTTAAGCTAATTCTAGATTTATGTACAATACTGTTATGGATGAAATACTGTATTATCTATTCTAGATCTATAAAAAAAGATTTAAGGATGTAAGATCTAACTATAAATGCTGCGTACATTTTATCTTTCATTTTATTTAAGTAGGAATTCTTCAGGAATAAAGAAGGAAATTTTATCTGGTGTATTAGAGGACCTGTGCCCTCTACAAGGTTGCTACAGGAAAGTGAAACCACACACAAAAGGTCATGACCTGGAAGGGCTCTGTTACTCCCACAATGGAGCTCATGTTGTTACTATAGTAACCCAAGATGTACTCTCCTGTGCCCTTAGGCAAAGACTCTTCCCCAAATGTCACCTGTGGAGGGAAAGAAAATACCTCATTACTACAGTACGTCATTATTTAACTTGGATGGGACCAGGATGATGGTGGTTTGTGCTAATGATAGCCACACAAGCTGATGTGCAGTATAACATGCAGAATGTGAACTGATCCTTTTTTGGTGTGGTTCATTAATCTACTAATCTGCTCTTTCTCATGAGGGTATTCGGAATATGACTACTATTAATAAAACAAATGTTGTGGTACTAAGGACTTAATGATACAGAGAGAGTTGTGAATGTGACGTTCCTCTGGAAAAACATTACTTCTTGAAATGGGTAAACCTGAAAATTGTCTGTCTCTAGGCTTTGGACATTCGTATCTTGTGTTCGTATGGTGTTGGCGCCTGGTCTGTGTGTGTGATGTAACGCTGTCTATTTGATGTGAATGTGTCCCTTCTCACATGGCGCTGGTGTGTGCTGTAGGTTCAGGTGTGTAATTGTGGTACCTGGTACTCCTGTTTCACGTAGTCTGACTCCTCTTGCTTTGCCCAGACGTAACCCACATAGTCCTTATGGTGCTTGAACCCCACCTAGGAACATACAGGAATATATACATGACATGTAAATAGTTTACATATTTCCAAAACATTCTGCTTGTAGCTCAGGACAGATTCAAACCAAGAGTGAGCAAATCAAAGGCTGGAAAGCAGGGGCTCACATGGTATACTAAATCCATTAATGAAAACTGTAAGTAGAAAGCAAGCTTCTGATAAAATGATTAAAAAAGAACAGCATCCAGTCAAAGTAAAAGAGTACAATAAACAGAAAACAGTCAAAATATATATAAAAAGGGCAATTAAAAGAAAAAAAGTATGGCAATGGAAACTAAAATAAATGACATTTATGTGACATTTATGAAAATTTTCAGTTTTCGAATTTCTGTCCTGGTTATATCACTGACAGCTCTTGTTAAAGATGTAAATAACATTTTGTTGTCCTCTGTACTATACTTGCACTACAGATCATATGATTTTGGTAGAAAAGCTCTAATGATTAAAGAGGTTTGAATGCCACCTGTTTGAGTGTACATGAGATACAGCTGGTGAAGTTGGAAAACTGGGCATAAAGGTTAAACCGAGTTAACTGCCCCACGGTGTCTCTGTATGATGTATAAAAGGGCCCATCTGATTTTGTAAGTATGGTCCGTTTGTGTGTTGTAGCAATTGAGAGATGTGTAGTAGCTGAGAGGAATCCTGCTGTTCTGGCCTTGCTTTGAGATTGACTCAATATCTCGCTGACAGTTTATCTGAAGAGCAAGAGGAATGAAAATCTCTATGGGGAACTGCACAGTCTTCTCCGAAATGGGACCGCAAGGGTACATCTTGAAGCCCAGAGGGGTTTCCATCTGCAAGCCTTAAGGACAAGCCACTCAAACGCCCAGGTGTTATTGTGACACGCTGACAACGAGCTACATTCGGTGGTGTAGGGGTTGGCGTCCACCACAAACAACTATAGGTCTGGCATACTGGCTTGGTTTAAATTGTATTTCACAAATAGATTTTAATTGACCTTTCCTTTACGTTAGAAGTTAAGACGTGGAGTGCCTCTGGGTTCTGGTCTTGGGCCTGTACTTTTCACTCTTTACCTGCTCCGTCTTGGTGACATCATCCACGGACACAATATTAACATTCCTCTGCTTCACTGATGACACACAGCTATACAGCTCATATCCATGAAACCTGATAAATTTGCTCCCTCACAGGGATTATCTAGATGTCAAAGAGATGTTTTAAACCAGATGACAGCAGGCTTCCGAATGTGTTATTCAGATTAAGCAAAGGTTCTCATCACAGAGCCAAAATAAGTCTGTGACAAAATTATGTCATTGTCTCTTAAACAAGAGAAGTCTGTTTAATTCATGTTAAAGTGGATTATTCAGAAAATACAAGTAGCTCAGCCCTACCGGAGTGTCTGCCAGTAATTACCTTGTACAGGCCAATCCAGTCCCAGGAACTCCGAGGGTAGTTGGCTGCCATCTTGAATTTGGCAGTGGCATCTGAAAGATTGTTCCACTCATCGTCTACAATGAGAGTGATCATGGGCAGGTCCACTTTATAGGGGAACTGGAAAGACAGAGCCACACAGAGAGAAGAAGTGTTGGAGAGGGTAATATTTTATTAATCTTACATATGGCTATAACATATTTAATAAGTACAATACATTAAATGTATTACAAAGAACCTCAAACACAGTTAAATTCCTAAACTATTTGACAACAATGTTTAATGTATTGTTACGAGTCCCCAGATAGAAGGTGAACCCTAACCTCAGCAGAGCAGATGTGTTGAGGTGTTTCACTAAGTGTGTGTGTGCATCACAGGTGGTGGCCACACTGGAACAACTAACAGAATTCACAAAAAGAGGCTTTAAAAGACCGAGGAGAACACACGTTACACTGAGTCTGTTAAGGGCTTTTGGCTGAAGCACGACTTTGGTTAGCGGCTCTAATTGACACATTTAAAAAAACGATCAGCATGCAATAAGAGTTGCAAGCTCGGGACTGGCAACTGCGGACGCTGCGATACGGACCTGCAGGGTGAAGATGGCCGAGACGGGCTTGTGATCGCTGACCAGGTACTCCATGTGACTGCGGTAGCAGTGCTGGGTGACCCTCAACCCGCTGGGCAGGCCGGCGGCGGAGCTGCGCTTCCTGGCCTTGCTCAGGGAAGGGCTGGAGGAGCTGGGCAGCTTGGTCTTCCAGAGGATGCGATCAGTCCAGGCCGGCTTCCGCTTCTTCATGCTACAGCAACAGCAACAGCAACAGCCTTAGTTGTTTTACTAGCTTTATCCATGACTGGCCTCTCAAGTCCCGTTTCTGCTGAAAAAAATAATATAATAAGAGACTAGAAATGTCTAATGTGGGCCAGAGGGACTGGCAGATTGCAATGGGGGTCTTCCAAAAACTATGCTGCAAAACTAGCCCCGGCGTTGGGGTGGGTGGACAGTAGGTGTGTCAGCAAGGTTATCCAGTTTGCCATGCAACAACAGTGCCTCCTAGTGGCTGAATGGGGGAGTGTATATTTGCAGCATTAAAAGTGATATCTGCGTCAGCCCTTTATCCAATACATACGCAGACACTGAGAGGCTCACGAAGAGGAAGGTGGTGCCGAGCTCAACAGTGTTTCAGGAGACACACATGCATGATCTTCACCCCTCCTGTGCTGGTACGATGGACAGCTCCAAACTGGAGGGTACCATAAAACGTACAATAATAGGTGAATTAAAAACTAAAAGGAACGGTGAATATTTTAAAGGATTTTAAGAACAGTCACTGTTTCACACCTACGCACGTGACCGCTTGCTCACTAGCCTTCCAAATGGCTTACATGGTCCCTCTGGGGTAACACTCCATCCCGTCTTAATCGACGATGTACACTTGACCTTCAGCGAAGGGTTTAGACACTCCCTGGTGGTCGTTTGTTAACGGTAAGAAAGTTCAGCATGGAAACAAGGCGTGATGCATGACAAACAGTAAGTACTGCACCAGTAGCAAGACAGTGAGGAGGGAGGCAGAGCACCAGACAGTGCAACAGCACCACGGAGACTTTCCTAGACTTCACTAGCATGCTGGGCAGTACCTGGTGTCATAGGTGTTGCTTCCCACATCAAACTTGTACGTTGGGGGGAATTTGAGTGGCCCCTCGTGGAACCCTTCCAGCACAGACTCTGAGCCCTTGGCCATGTTCAGCTGGAGACAAAGAGGGCAGTGAGCACAGCACCGGAGCAGTCAGCCGCACTCCAGCGTTCAAGACAGCGCGGTGTCTGTGGAGGCAGCGGCCCGGCGACAGAGACACCGAGAGAGAAACGCACAGTCCCGCGCAGGAGAGAGAAAAGGGCCTGCTTGACACGACCGCAGCCCAGGCCAGACCTGGAGCTGCTGAGGCAGCCTCCCTCGCCCGCTCCCCAAATCATCACCGTGTAAAAAACACCAAACTACTGTAAGTGCACAAACAAAGCAGGATAAGTTGCCCCCCTTACCCTTCACGGTTTTTAATTTCACACACAACAGGCACTGTGCCCCTGGAGCCAGGGACACGCAGAAAGATGATTTCATTCCAGATGGAGGCAAGGAAGGTGAGCATTGTATATTTGTCAAAAAAACAAACAACTGTTCTGCAGGACAACGACAAATATGTTGGACAATATGTTAAGAGCGTTCTAGCATATTTATAGAACATTTTTAAAAAAACATCTAACCTGTAGGACTGTAACAGGATTCTTCATCACCACAGAATTGTGTAAACCTTATTTGTTCACAGGGCACTGGTGTTGGAAACATTTGTCTTGCCCTTTTCCAGACTGAACGAATGAGGGATACTGAACTCATGACTCATGACAACACCAGGCAGCAGGATTGATTATGTTTCCCAAGGAGCGTGATGAATATTTACTGTATTCAGTAAGTGATAAATGGAAAATACGCCTCTTTGACTAGAAGCTAAATGGTCACCAAAACATACAGGACTTCCCAGAAACACACACACAAGGCTCCTTGAGCTCTTGCCTGACACTTGTGTTGGTAGTACTGTATGTATTCAAATACAATTGTGTAGGCAAATTCACTAATTTTAACTCTAGCCTTTATAATAACCCAAACCACGTAGGATATGCTCAAAAGCACCTAATGCAGTATTGTCAACATCAACGTCATCCAGTATATGTCAAGACTAACAGGGAAATAAATTTGTCAATCCCAAACTGTAGCTTTTAAAGACCTGGTGTCAATGTTAGGCACAGGCACTAATGAACTGTACAAGCTATAAATGTACAGGAATCAGAGTGAGATGTTGTTGTCTCTTCTAATAGTGAGCAAGCAGAAAGAAGGTAAACCTTCTTTGTTTAAGGAAATTAGGATATGGAAGGGAATTGTGGGGAGCCTGTAAACTTCTGGGTCTACAGCACTGTTCAAATCAGATTATCTTCCTGAATCAGGATATCTAAGTTTTTAGTTCAGGGTGATGTCAAATGCACAGGTTCAAATACTGTAGTCAGGACAGCTTGTACTGTACCTAACTTGATCCTGGGTATAGCTGATCCTTATTGGAACAGAAGGAATTAAACTGAAAACCATAGTCTACCATTTAAGATTTCTCACCTGGTCTTTATCCCAAAGCAGAGAGAGCTTGTTGCCATCAACGGCATTCTTTACAAACTGAATTTCGTAATCCTCAATTCTGAAGTTCAGGTCACCGAACCAAAACACCACACTGAAAAGAAACAAACAAATACTGAAATTAGATCTCAACTCTTCACCATAACCACTATGAGATAAAGCAAGGGACAAAAAACAGCTTCATAGAGGATTTTATATTAAATAGAGGAATAAACCAAAATGTTTAGTGCTTCCATTGAACATGCTCTTTATAAAGCAGCCAGGATAAGTCTAGTTTATACACAGAAGATCCAGATGAATGGGAGAAAATTGTCTTTACATTTCAGAATTGAAAAGAAAAACAATTTCAAAAGCATGTACACAATGTGGCAGACTGAATGGGTTTAGGTCCACTGGACATAGAAAGAAGGAGCCTGGTGTCTTGTCATAATAACACTTTAGGGATGAGTGACGGGCTAGGTTATAACATCAAAAGGAGATGTATCAGCCAGCTCTTTTCACCACCTTTTTGCATACTGGGGTAGCCTGCCAGCCAATTATCTTGGATTACACAGACTGAGCATCTGTTCCACTTAGGCTATGATGCATTATTAATATCGGCACAATCATCAATATTCTATAGGGTCCATAAAGTCTCCCCACTGAGTTAACATGTACAGTAAACAGAACCTTTAAACAGAAAACTCTCAGAACTGCATCCCCAACACCATTCTTTAAATTAATCTAAAACACAATTTCAACCCTCTTTAAACTATCCCATTTATCCCACTCATTTACACCCCTTCTCTAGCTGTATCCACTCATGCTCTGCTGGCTGCTACTCTGCTCCTTGTCTTCATTGTCCTTCCTCCGGGCCCGGAGTCCCGGACACTATAGGGCTGCATCATCAGTGCCCACGACGTGATCAAATAAACAAGTAAAGGTTCATTCCGTGCTGAGAAGAAAAGAGAAGAGACACACAAAAGGGTGACACCTGAAGAAGGCTCCACAGCCAAAACCTTGTGTCTCTTTACTTTTCCTTTCAGCAGGGAATAAGCCTACGCACGCTGAGGCAGCTCCCTACTCGAACATGATCAAATAAATGCCTCCTTTAATATCGAAATAATCCTAGTTTTTACAGGTACACAATTGTAACCACAGAAAACAGAAAGAAGAATGATCCCGGACTGGTTGGCACTAACACAGACCCAGGACCTCTTAGACAAGTATGGCAGCGGCAGTACAAGCCGAGCAGACCCCCCCACTAGATGGAGCCCAGGGCCCGGCGAGGCACTCACTCGTGATCCAGCACGCCGGTGGCCGCCTGCCCATCGAACTGCTGCTGCTGCAGGATGCTTTCGAAGTCCTCCATGCGCTGCTCCGAATTCTCCATGTGTGCCGGCAGGTGGCAGTTCAGGAAACAAACCATGTGGCCAAAAACCGCCATCCGGGCACTAACGCCACCTTTGTTACCCTGCGCAGAGAAAAGAGTCACTCCTTCGCCTCCGTCAGCACAGAAGGTACAGCGTGATTCACTCCGCTAGCTATGATGCAGCTTGCAACAGGATTCATTAAGGCTGTGGTTACTATGACAAAATATCTTTAATATTGCTAAGCCTTTAATTAGGCCTTGGATAAAAATGTCACAAGCTGAAGCCCAGTTTACACAAGGCCAGTCAGTGCTTGCAGCACACTGACTCTTGTAGTGGAGTGCTCGGATAGGGTAAGTGTCTGTCACAAAGTTAAACTATATTACGTGCAACAGCCTCATTCTAATCTGGGTGTCCTTCTTAACAGCTGTGTAGATCAACGGGAGGGAAACCTACGTCAGAGACCATATTCTAAAGCAATGGACAGGGTCTGACCTGCTGACAGTGGAGCACTGAGCTACAGAGGCCAGACAACTACAGAGTCGCTAAGAGACAGCCTGGGAAGCTGCTTAGTGACAGAAATTTGTTTTGAGCTCATACTGTGAATCCTTGAAAACAAATTTCTTCTTGTGAAGAGAATAAAGAGTGCCGTGGTCCTGTAACTATACCAACCTCTCTCTTCCTACCCATTCATTGTCCAGCCTGCAAGAGCGATTTCAGGTGTTGTTTATTAGATTTATTAGATTTTTATGGGCAGTTGAGACCTTACACCAGCAATCACTGGCACAGTTGCCGTCACAGTTAAAATATATAATTAACCTAAAGTTGATACAATTTGTGAAAATTCTTTTCTTGTCAGAATACTCTGAGCTCCTGATTTGAATTACCTTTGAAAGGGACAAAAAAGGCTTTATTTATTATCTCCCAAACGTCAGGGGGATTAATCAAGACCCAAGTTATTTCTTCATTTTCTGTGTTTGTAAAACTAACACACTAGTGCAATTAAAGCACTGCGCTAAAGGCACTCTGACTCTGATTACATATCTGTGTCTACAGAGACATGTACTGTACCACCTCCAGCAGTTAACACCAGTTTCTCAAAAGTAATATCCAACATTGGTGTTTTGAGACCGAAATCTTTATGCCTAGAAGTTTTTTTATTGATTTATTTTGGGTCTGTAACAGCGGGTGCTGTCTCTGACAGAAAAAACACGCAGCACACCAGGCGTGGCAGAAGCTGCTGTTTGAGTACGGCCCTGGCTATGCAGAGGCTATACTGTGTCAGCTCCAGCGCAGGGAGGCACACTCACCCAGTATCCTCCCAGGCCTGTCCGCGTGCTCTCTGTCTGCACATTCCTCAGGAAGGGCAGGTGGTAGTACTTGGCAAAAACCAGCAGCAGAACACCTTGCATCCGCTGGGAAGTCACCTGGAAGAGAGAGGGAACTGGCAGACCGGGAGGTGTCAGGGGAAACAGGAAGAGCTGGAGGAGCTATACAGTAGCTGTTGTAGCTCCTTAAGGTCACTGTGCGCAGGAGCCTTTACACACACAAAATATTTAAAATGCACAGAAACTATTTCTTGCCCCTGACAGGCTGTATTATAAGACTATACAGGATGTAATGCATGTTGTGTTTAATGGCATTCGCCTCTCTCCCTGGCTGACCTTCTTGTTACTCCAGCACTCCCTTGTTAATAATGTTCTCCCTGGATTTTCTGTATGAAAACGACCCATTGGCCATCGATCACAACTGTTTAGATGGTGTAAGAATAAAGCACAATAAAACCTTATAATGTCTGTTTTATTAACATACAGCCTGTCCATTGTGTATAAAACCACAAATGCTGTCTGAAGAAGTTCAGGTCAATAAATGTCTTTTCTTTGTGCACATGCATCTGCTTAGTATTGATTTCTTTAAAGGGAAACATCGTCCTAACAAGCCCAATATGTGGAAATGCAATGGCTTCCACAAGAATGTTAACTCTAGGATGTACAGGAGGAACGATCTTTAGGCATAATCTCTAGAGGGAATTGGTTTTGACTCTTCCTGAGGCTTGTTGTGACAAGGAAGAGCCTGAATCTCTTCCATTTCCCTTCCGTTATTGTTCCGTTTATGCCCTGTGTGGTCAGAAGGAATTCTTGCAGCGTGAATTCTAAAATAATCGACAAGATGGAGAAACACAAAACAACCAAAAAAGCAGGTGCAGTAGTTTACACTATTAACGCAGACATGTCTCCATTTTGGCTTCTGTGTAACACAGTTGGCTGTTTCATTTATACTGTATTGTTTCGGCCTCTTGACAATCAGTTCCTGTAGCCAACACTGGAAGATGAACTACAAGTTTTATAAATGTGAATACAGCTCAGCCTGCATCTGCTGATCTTGTGAATTAAGCTCTTACGTAATCGACTTGATGTGTTCTGCTAGGGGCTTATTACAGTTTTGCATTAACATTGGCGTTGTCACGGAAGTGCCCTAAAGAAGAGTCTTTAAACTGAGTTTTAAAAATATTGAATCTGTTTGAGTTTTACCCTCTTCTTATTTCTTGCAATTAGAATGTCTAAAAAAGGAAAACTGCTGGAAATTGACCAGAATCAGATATGTAAATAATATGTTTTGTTTAGAAACAACAGACCAATACAACTCCCTCTGCATGTATTTTTAATACTATTTCCATTATTAATTCACATTTTCTACCAGAAATAACCACATATTCTTACAGCGAATTACAATGTAACCTTTTGCTGGAAGCCCGTTTCTATTTATTATTTCTACAGTTGACATTTATCTCAGCACGTAATCAGCACTTTTGAGAAACACTCCGTGGCAGTGTGTAGGAAGGGAGATATATTGAGAGCTGCTGATCTATGCAGCATCCAGTTGTGGTGAGAGCCTACTCAGTAACTTCCCCTCTCTCTTTAAGAGACAGATGATGAGTGAGGCTCCTTGGCAGATGACATACCTGTAGGAAAATCTATTCCTGTTCCCAGCGGCCGGCTCTGTCATACACGCTAGTGCACAGCTGCCTGGACCACAGGCTCAACATTTTGTTTGATGACCCTTCTCTGCTCCTCACATCTCTCAAACTGAGCTGCTGCCTAAAGGTTTGGGTGCATGTCTCCAGTGGTACTGATTCTGAAGTTTGCAATTCCAGTTTACTTTTGCTTCCACCCTGGGAATGCAGAGTTGACCAGGGAAGCACATTTTCCAAGCTCAAAACAAGGTGGTATTTCATAAATTAGGGTGCTGTCATTAAAACGCTTCCACGTTGCTTAAGTGTTGCAGCTGAAAAATATGTGTGCTGGCTGAAAACCCAGCCAGGCCACCTATTCTCCGAGTTCTCTTAGAAATTATTCCAACACGGTCTTCCCTGGATGCTGGTCTCTAATGAATTCATGAGATATTGTTTTGCTTAACTCAGACCATTCAGAGACAGACTGTTCCAGCAAAGTGCTGCCTAATTGTTTTCTCTTCAAGAAACAGAATATACGTATCCATTAAATAAATAATACAATGAAAGTCTGCAGTTTTCTATCTCCCCATACCTTGTACAGTACGTAGGCTTAAGTGAGAAGCCAGTAAAATCTCTCAGCATTTAGTGGGATTACAAGGTGCAAAGACTTTACATATTTGCCTTAAAAAGAACATTGATAAAAGTGCCAGGCCTGCATTAGACTCACAGCATTTGAAAGCTATAGATCCTTCCAGAACACATTGCATCCCCAATACAAACAGGACTGAATGGCTTCCTCTCATGTCCGGCCATTCAAATAAAGAAAACACAATTCATTCCAGTAAAATACTACTGCAGCCTCTGCTTCATTACATTTATGAAGGCTGTATTAAGTTTTGCCATTGAGCTTTCTATCTCTTGTGTTCAACAGAATCAGTGGACTACAGCAGTGCACTTGTGTCGATTAGCGGACCCTTTCGCTGTTCACACAAGAAGTCAGCACCCTGGTGTCAGTTACAGCTCTAAAGACCCTCTTCCTGCAAACTCACGAGTAATGGCCTCCTAATGATCTCTATCAAAGTGAATGAAAAATTGATGCATAAGGCTGATTATGCTCTCAGCTTTGTACCAGTTGCACTTGCAGATTGAGCCACTGTCCTGGAGAAGTGTTTCTAATTGCCAATAACCTAATATTTTCTCCAAACAAATAAAGTACCTAACAAACTAGCTAACAATCATAGGTAAAGACCCAAGCTTTGCAAATGATAACATTAGTATCCCGACAAAGTCCAATACTTGTCATAATGGAGATGTCCTTTAATCTAGGAATGTTAATTAATCTTTAAATGTTAAGTTTTCATACACAGGTAACATTTTATTTTATACAGACTCCATAATGTAATTAGAACTTAGTAAACATCTATTCTACTAGACACCACTTTCAGGTAAATTCAGCTAGAAAATTCATATTCTCTTTAATATTTATTAATCATTTTCCTTATTATTCTGGTGGAGCTCTAACCAGGTTATTATAGGATATGACCAACATGGACTTGATGATTAGGGGTTCCATATTTAGAGATAAAGGGCATTTTGATCTGTGTAAGATTCTTAAATAAGTGAGTGACCACATTGTGTGGGTGCATCTGCAGCACAGCAGTAAGAACCCTGGTATTGTGGAGTGGAGGCTGTGGGCTGGCCCACAGGTGAGACCGAAATAATCTGCTGCTACTGCAACTGCAATTCAGAAAAGTTTAAGCATCGCAAGGATTTTGATCTGATCAAAGTAATAATTAACAGCACATTTCAGCCCTTCTAGTGGCAGATAAGCTGATAAAAGACCCCTCAAGAATGGACTTGCTGCAGTTACAAATGAGAGAAGCTGCTGTAGATGAACAACTCTAGAATTTCACCAGCCATTTTGTTGCATTAAAGCTCTGTGTTCTGCTTTGAAGCCTTTCATTTTTGAGGCATTAGGGATGAAAAAAAATACCCAGGCTGAAAAAATGACATAATTGTCTACTGACTTCAAGGAGTGATGACAGATAAAATTGAGATAAGAGCTCTCCTGCTGAATAACATATCAGGAAGAAATTGATACATGTTAGGAGTCCCACAGCATATTTAAGTTGCATGGAAATGTAACACAACAACCACAGAAAAAGTAAGAACCATGTTGCAGGTTTGCGTTGTGTGTGTTTGCAGGTGTGAACAAGAGAAGAAGGTTGTTCAGAGCTGTGTGCAGTGCATATAGTGACGGGGACACTATACTGTAAACAGGTGCCGTCATTTGTATGAGACGTAAAACCGAGGTCCTGACTCTCTGTGGTCATTAAAAAATCCCAGGGTGTTTCTCGAAAAGAGTAGGGGTGTAACCCCGGCATCCTGGCCAAATTTCCCATTGGCCTTTACCAGTCATGGCCTCCTAATAATCCCCATCTATGAACTGGCTTCATTACTCTGCTCTCCTCCCCACTAATAGCTGATGTGTGGTGAGCGTTCTGGCGCACTATGGCTGCCGTCGCATCATCCAGGTGGGGCTGCACATTGGTGGTGGTGGAGGGGAGTCCCCATTACCTGTAAAGCGCTTTGAGTGGAGTGTCCAGAAAAGCGCTATATAAGTGTAAGCAATTATTATTAGTAGTATTATATAAGCACAATACATAGCAGGCACATTTGGCATGTCATTCTTCATTGTTATGGTTTTTGCTGCTATTATTAAGGCAGAAATGGGAACAATAATAAAGACAATCTTCAACATTTCCAAAATGTATAAAGATATCTGGGATGTAGTACAGTACACCTACATGAAACTGGGTATCCAATGACAGCATTGAATAAAAAAGATATCTGGCATTTGGGAAGACTTGTGTCTTAAAAAAAACCTTTCTGCATTAGCAGAGGCACTCATTTTAAGCCTCTGTCTAAAACAAGTTTAATTTGACTAAACCACACAGACTAGAAATAACCCATTACATTTTTTATCAGGGTTGGACAGGGATGCCGTTATTTTAATGAGTATTCCTTTGCAAAATATTGGTATCTAGGTAGCTGTACTAAGAAAAATAGTTTCTTCAAATCTTCAAAAGATGACATGTCTTTGTCTATTTTTTACCATATAGAAATAGAGCAGGAAAAAGGACAAGCTCTTTTTTGCTCAGGTGCAAACCTGCAAAGTGGCTGTTCTGCAAAGCTTTAATGTTAAAACACATTTGAAGAAGCAATGTGTTTGGGGCCCCTGAAACATGATCCTCGCTGCCCAGTTTTCATTTGCAAATGAAATGATTATACAATGCCTCCTGTGTTCCTGTGTTGACTGAGGTGATCCTGTAAGATAGTGTGTGCTACAGGTGAAAAGGTCTGAAAGGAGTACTACAGTATACTCAGTTTATTCACAACCACAGTCCCTGTGGAGGAAAAACCCATTGCACTCATTTCAATTCATTGTTGTTGAAAAGAATCGGTTGTGACTATTTAATTTTTACCGGAGTTCAGACCCTTTCCTGCGTTCAGAACAGAACAAAAATTCAAGGTTCTTTATTATGCAACACATGTACTGTATATAGTTTACTCCGTGTCAATACAAAACACTGGGTAAACTAGAATAAGTAATAATAAACAGAGTAGTCTATAAATGTGCTGTAAAACTACTGTTTAGATTTCCTGAATCAGTGATCAGAATTGTACTAAAATGCACAGATTTAAAATGAAATCAAGAGACAGGACATTTCATTTTGAAATGTGCAAGTTATCACCAGATCCTCTCTCTGTAACACATCTATAAAAAGTACATGCAGAGAGCTTTTGTGCTTCTCTCTGATCCAAATCTCAGTATTAATAAGTCTATTCATCTGACTCTTGCTCTTCATAGACAACCCCAAACCCCATATCCAGGGATGGATAAACCAACCTTATCTAAGCTGCTCAAACAGCACAGGTGAAAATTCCTTTTAAATGGGACATGAATTAAAATGTTTGTAAATGGTCATGGTTTAGACACACGATGGAGTACTACTGAAATATAAAACTTCACATGAGGCCATACGATATACTGTATATATATATTTTTTTTTATCAGAGAACATTATTTTAAATAAATGACCAGACACTTTATGTGACTGGAATTGGTAACCATGCTGTTTTCATCTATGGCTCAAGAACTTTACGCTGCTAGTTTCTCTTTCTTGACAGTTTGAACAGGACATATTCTACTTTACCTACAGTAAGTGGGCAATATAGCCTCAAGTAATGGCCACTGTGTTAAAACATTGTTTTTTTCACCAACCAGCACATAGCCGAAGGGACCCAGTGTGTCCATACACAGCTCACTCCACTGGTCAGTGAAGATGGCGTCCTTCAGCCGTTTATTAATCATGGAGTTGACTTCTTGAAGACTGAAGAACAAGAGAGACAGAAAGAGAAGATAGTGCTCAGGCACTCTCAAAGTCTTGCCTTAGATTTTTAGTCTTAGACATTCCCATGTGTTGATAGAGAGCATACGTTCACATTTATGGCTAATGTCGTTAAAAGAGTTTTGGAATTCCTAGTTATTTAATTATTTATTAAATAACTAGGCAGGCAGGAAGGGCTCTGGCTTGAACTGAGGTATGGTTGATAAGTTAATGTAGGACACTAGTCACCATTCCTTAGAGCAGTAAACTACAGGAAACAGCAATCAAGTGCCCGTTTAGCGGTGAGACCCACAGAAGGGCGACAGGTGCTGTATGGGACTGTTTGTCATAACAGAAGTTGTGGACAGACATATTTAACAAGGAATCTTGAAAAAGATGAAGTTCTTACCCAATGATGTACATGTCTGTGATCCCATCTCCTATGTTCAGCCCCAGAAGCGAAATGATGTCATCAGGCGGAACAGCTGACCCCACATTCCATGTGATGATGTGCACCCTGCCAGAGATGATGAGGAATTAAGGGCAATGATCTGCTTTAATAGTGATCTGTCATTTTAAAAACAATTATGTCTTCACAGATGAGAATGGAACATCAACCACACATAAGATCAATAGAAAATGAAGTCAAATGAAAGCTTTGACCTGACTTTCTTGTAGTTCACTACTTTATCTGACTAGAAATTTCTATATTTTACGAACAATAATTACCAGTCTTACTTGGTTATGTAACCTTGTGAGATCAAAATAATGCTGGTAACCCTAAAAAGGGAGGGAGGATGTGAGGACGCCCCTGTTTTCCACGGGTCAAACTGTTCATAGCAAAACTGATAAACATTTGTCCATCTATTAAAAGAAAACTGCTGCTCAGCTGAATGAAGATTCAAAATAAGAGCCTCCTTCCCTTGTTGATTATCATTGTGCGTGTGCATAGAATTGTCATTTTGATTACAACATTTTTATTATTATTATTTTCCTTAATTCTTTATCTGGTCTGTATTAAGAACAACTGTCAGACAGACCCATTTTGCCTAGTTTTGACGGAGAGTCCATTGACAGGGGACATCTTCAAAATCAACAACAAAACAAGAGCACAGGGGACGCAAGGTTCAGGATAGAAAAGAGATGATTGGATCCTTAACCCATCAGCAATCTAATCAACCAGCTGGGCCTCAGTGACAAAACTGTGTTACAATGCATTGATAAGCCTTGTAGTGGGAAGAAATGTTAACAAAGACCCAGGCAAAGCATACATTGGGTCAGTTTCTCTTCATGGTTTTCAGCGGGACAATGTCTGAGTGAGCTTTGCAGCTGAGCTCTGAGGGGAAAAGAGAGAGCTCAGCAGGAATAAAACCTAAAGGCCCTAGAGGACTGGAGTTTATCACCACTTACTAGTTGTTAAGCTCAGGGTAATCAGTTATCACGTATAGTATAGCTGTTGTGTAAGTACTGAACTTGTGTATGGACTTAGCTGGCTTCTTAGTGTAGCAGTTTGTTCTGTACATATAGAGTAAATGGTGTTTGTGTTTTTGACAGTATGTTCTTTCAGTGGATATGATAACATCATTGCAGGCTGATGTCATTATATCTTTGCACGCTGTGTGCACATGGCTAACATGAGTGTGCACAAGATGTCTACATAGGTTGTGTGAGTATGTCTGATGTGTGTGCAAACATTCTGTGTTTGTGATGCATGATGGGTGTGTTACACGTGTGCATACACACTGTCTTTGTGATGCATGATGGGTGTGTGTGACACGTGTGCATACACACTGTCTTTGTGATGCATGATGGGTCTGTGTGACACGTGTGCATACACACTGTGTTTGTGATGCATGTGTGTGCATAGCTATATGGCTAAGGTGTGTGTATGCTGGCTGGCAGTCCTGCTATGTGAGCTAATAAGCCTCTCCAGCTGAGCTTGTCCTTCCCAAGCATGATGTTAGTAGCTGCCTGCAGTTCTTGACCCATTTCCAGCTGCCAGCTGCAGTGACTAATCTGTCACTTCCACACACCACTGTCTTCTAGAGCGCCTGCATTCACACTCCCATTCTCTCAATAAGCATTAGAGACAATGGAGCCCAAATCCAAACACTGGACAAGAAGCTCACAGCAAAGTGCCTTTATTCAGAAGCAAAGCCATAACACTGGCACGCTTGCTCTGTTCTCACACCCACTGCTATTTAAGACATATTTGACATCTGCTAGGTAACGTAGGGAAGCAATAAAAAAGACAAACAAAACATTAGGATATACAGTTAAAAGCACAGAATTTAAATAAAGGATTGTTATGTTAAAAGTGTTAAACACACAAGTAAATCCTCTCTCAGAATATGATGTGCAATTTTGTTTGCCGTGTTCTAGATATTTACTACTGCTCTGTAATCATTCCAGAGAGGAACAACCAGATGCACTCTGGGACTGAAGGCAACCTCTCTGACTGACATGCTGATGGAACCGATGGAACCGGACACACAGCCATGTGACTGAAGCTGATACCCTTCTTTCTTCCAAGAAACAGCTGGATGGGAATCTTAGATCAATTAACGACCAAATGGGAAATATGGGCCGAATGGCCTCCTCTTTTGTTACCTTTCTTAATCTTTTATATTCTCATTTAGCTGCTAGTAGCTTAATGATCCAAGGATTCCATCAAGTTGTTTTCATAATGAATCTCAGCTTCATTAATTTGGTATAAGGACTTGATTCCCAATTTCATCTTCAACAAATCCCCTTAATCTGTCAGAATATAAAATTTCTGTCACACTAGAAATTAGTCTGGTTGCCCTTTTGTACTGTGTCTAGAGCAGCACATTAAACCACTCTGCAAACATACTCCCAAAGTGGACACTGGTAGATTTTACGACACTTGATATGTAGACTTTAGAAATAGACGAAGTATTGCACAGTCAATTTATTCTTATATTAAAAGGACCAGGCACCCAAGGTTATTTCATGTGTATGTGAATCAAGAACTAGTTTAAATACAGAAAAAAAGAGTACTCATTAAGGGAGAAACCTCAGCATGGAGTGAGGTAATTAAAGAAAACACTGCTGGAATCCTACCGATTTACAACAGTGACTGAGACCACGAACTAATTAGCAAGCTCATCCAGCTCATCAAATATACGGATGATACACTACTAAAGGGCATAACTAGCCAGCACTCTGATAGCAGCAGAGCAAACACGAGATGAAGAGAGATCAGAAACAATGAAATACGATACAACCAAATGCAAAGCCGGCAAGCAAGAAGCACCAGGGTCCATAATCGATAGCAAATAAGAACAAAATCACTTGAAGAGCAAACCAGGGAGAAACACAATAACCAGTGAGAAACCAATGAGATTCTCAAAGAACATTCAAAATCTGGGCACCTGAGGAGGACACGAAATGTGCAACCAATCCTGTGGACAGAGAGTAAAATGATTTTAGATTCCGCATTAAGGGTGGTAATGGCAAGTCAGTTTCAGGTTGTATTCCAGGGTATTCCAACCTGAAGAAGACCAGGTTTTGCTGATTTCCATTTTGGCTAAGTTCTGAGTTACTTGACTGAAACTGTAAACTGTAATTCATAATCTGTCGCAACAGATGTCTTGAGTTGAGGATATGAAGTGAAAGAGGTTGACGCATCTTGCCCACATTCCCCAGAAAGCACAGAGGACTGCTGGTCCTGCTAACAACGGGCATTACAACCATCACCACACAGTGGCACGACTGTGGATGTTCCAATTGATATTTCAGAGAACGTATTTATGAGCTTGATAGCTTCTTGTAAGGAGTCTGATGGATCTGCTAATTATAATAGTACATCAACTACGTAAAGGTTGCTTTTGTGCTGTGTGTGGAGGGTTTGAATTCCCTTGATGTTTGTTGTATCCTTGCCTGGTCCCCCTGCGCACTGTGAAACTGCATTCCGTTAGTAGTGACTGCGGCCAAAGGTGTAGTGTATGATACCTTTATCATTGAACAAACAGTACTACAAGACCAGTTTGTTTTGGAAATTCTAATTATTTTAAAAGAAGTGAATATTTGTTTGGCTTGGTTTGTGGTCTAAAGTGAATAGCTTGCTAAAGAATGTACGGAAAGTGTTATTTACGTCTTGCGATCTCCAGCTTGTAAAGCAATATAGATTGTTCGGGATAAAAGACTCAGCAGCTGGGAATTTCCCATGTATTTTAAAATATTTCACTACTGTGATGGTATTAACCTTTATCGCAGCAACAATTTATTTTTCTTAATTCCATTTTAACTGATTTGCTACATATTTTCCTGATTTATTACTGTGTTCAATATGATCATATCGGAGTCTCTGGATGAGGAATTCTGTATTTTTATTAATAATATAATTTAATTGACGTTTAGATTTTCTCAGTTCACTCCGAACTTGTGCAGTGGGATTGTTAGCATAAGCGTCATGCAATTCTTTGGTATTTTCATTTCAAATAATATTTATTTCTTAATTAAACAAATAGTTTACTTCAGTGCTCAGAACAAAACCGTTCCAAGGGTTTAGAAATCAAAGGAAGAGGGGACCTGTCACGCCTTTAGGTCTGTAGTTTTTCAGACCTAGTCCTGGTATATTAAATATCAAAAAAGGACAACTCACTGCCTGAGCTGTGTGACCAGTGTGTCTGCTGCTGCACCTGAACTGAAACTCATGTCTGCTTAACCCTCCTGCTTCAGCGCACAGATAACTGTGAATCAAGCAGGTTATCAAAGAGGTTTCATTAATACCTCTTCCACGTACTTCCTGCTTGATTGTTTATCGCCTCGGCTTTACTGCTCCGGCAGCTGCAGCCCCTGGAGCCACACGAGGCCCCCATGATCAGACCCGCCGGCTGAGGAAACACGCTGTTAAAGTCATCCGCCACTTCTCATCTACCAAATCAACACAGCACCCACGGGAGAAGCAGCGCTGGTGGGAAAGTCAGCACAATGAGCGGAGGAGCCTGCAGCAGGGCAGGATTGAAGTGGTGATACGGTATCACACTCCTTTACTGCCAAATCAATCACTCAGCAGACCTGCAGTGCACACTGTTTTGTCTTGATTAAATATTTTACTAGTCATACTATAGCTTGTAAATATTTTATAAGATCTATAATGTTTTATTTAGTCCCAGTGCTAATTTAATCAAAACAGGAATAAAATTATAGAAGTTTATGTTGTTTTGACTTAACAGGCCTACTGTGTATAGAATTCAGATTTCAATATTTAGGCATAATCCTTTATAGTGCACAGTGCTACAAACATTGAATTAATACTGATTTTCTGTTGGCCTTTTAATGCATTTCTCTGAATACAGGTAAATGAGATTTGACACAGAAGAAATCAAAGATCTTTTAAATGGACCTGAAAAAAATTAGATGTTATCATTTTCAAACGGTAGACACAAAACAAAATATTACAATTTTAAAGTGTTTATCTTTAAATATATGTTTGGTGCTGCATACAAAGAAATACTTACACATACTCATTTTGATTAATTGTAGTCATAAAAGACCCATATTATTCAAATTAAAATGCCTATGAAACAGAATCCTGGTCTCTTCAAATCTCAGTAGTTTATTCTAGATTCCGAGATTCTAATTCCATATTTATATCTTGCTAATATCAACAGCCGAAAATGTAAAAAGAATTGAACCATGATTTATTTTTCTTCCATTGTAATGTACAGTAGAATTAAACCTAACGATGAATAAAAAGTACAATTTTTCCACAAGGACCATCCATCAAGCATACAAGGAACACGCCAACGTATCTTTATCAGTACAGTGTGTAGCAGGTAGGACTAACGGTGGTTCATTTTGATTAAGTAAACGGGTACTGTATCCAACAGCATGATCACATTTGCTTAACAAAAAGCTTCAGAGGATTTTTCCATATCAAATACATCAGGTAAAAGAACTGGCCAACTCTATTGTACTGGTGGAGTTACAGTAAGTATTCTACTAACATATTAGTTGATTGATGCAGTTGATTTTTTCAAGGCTGTGAGAAAGCTATGCTCCTTGGCTGGTCCAGTTGGTACAGTATGTGCTTCTTGGAGCCATATTCGCTTGTTATACTCGTTGCATTGAAATGAGCTTTTGAAAACTGTACTCCTTTATGACAAAGCTTTTAATCATTGGGACAGATTCTAATACCTAGTGGGCTACTATATCATACGGCAGCATTGGCTTTATAAAAAATGCCATATGAATTATTAAAATGTAAGATGAAATGGCTTTAGCAAATGAGTAGTTGAACAACAAGGGTATCCACAGGCCCAGTGCTGAAAGAGACATGTGTCCAGTGCAGCTCAGTTAAGCCTTTTGTCTGGCTGTTGTGTTAAAACTGTAAGCAGCAGTCATTCATCCACCTCCAGTTTTCTTTTTAGACAAAAAATAAACAAGACCTTTACTTGTAAGCCTTACAAATAGCACATTCCAGGTACAGCAGTGTTTAAAAACAAAGAAGAATAAGTGAAGGTAGATATGAGAAGGCCTTATTCTGGATAGCAGTTTTCTCAAGTTTAAATTAAAAAAACAGCTTCAGCTGCTTTGAAACTTTTAAAACAGGTACTGTCAATGAACAAGAAAGGAGAACAGGCATGAGGTGCAGTAAAATATTTCAAAAGACATGGGAAATCCTCAGATGTCGAGCCTTTTAGCCAGAATAGTCTATATTGCCTTACAAGCTGGAGATCTTCCAAGGCTCTGGGACACGTAGACTTGAAAAATCAATTGAAGGTTAAGAGTTTATGAAATTAAATCTGTGGTTTATAGCTGAAGAATCTACTACCTTTTTAAAAAAAATTAAAACTGTAATTCCAACAATAAAACGGCTTTAGTTCCAAAAGGCTTAAGTAGGTCAGACAGCCCTTTGTGTTTCCTCTCTGATGATGGAATGGGGTAAACCTTAACTTTCTCTTTGTACAAAAAGGAATAATAGACATTTCTTTGTGCCCCGTATATGAATTTGATGCTGTCTGGTATTGAACATCAGCTGAAAAGCACATCGATCTTTTACTGCTGTTTTTGCAAGCGAAATTGTTCTCGTCACCGTCAAGATGGTGAAAATGAACAGACTTCAGGTGGACACCGTGACGTCACGGCCCCTGGCAGAGGAGGCCGAGTAAGAACACCCCAGCTCACCTGAAGTCCTCCTCGGCCCCGGCTTCGGCGCTGGCGTCGCTCTGGGGCCGAGCTCCCGGGGGGACGGGGTCCACAGAGCTCCCTGCGAAAGCCTCCCAGGGGGGCTGGGCGGGGGGCATGGGGGCCGCAGGTGGGGGGGCCGTGTGCCTCACCGGGTTGGGGCTGCAGGACCCCGGGGGCTGAGGGACAGCCCCACTGGCTCCCGCGGGCCGGGGTCGGCCGGAGCTGCCCGTTGTCTGGGGCCTGGGCCTGCTCAGGCACACGGGTGCCGCGGGCCCTGAGCCGCTACCCGCTGTGCAGTTGGGCCCAGCCGGCCCCTTGGCCTGCGTCACCTCCAGGCTCAGGGCATCGGCTGGAGTGAATCCGTGGGCTTCCGGCTTCCCAGCTCCCCCCTGAAGCCTTTGGGCATCCGAGGGGGCGGGGTTAGTGGAGCTGGGGGCTGCCCTCCCAGCAGGCCCCGGGGTGGGGTCTGACCTGGCTGTGGCCGATCCTGCTGGCTCCTGCTTTCTGTGGGTTTGCTCTGCTGGATCCATCCCCTGCCGGGAATAAAACAACACAGGATTTGTTACATATTCTAGACAAGCAGACATACAGTAATGATTTACTCTGGGGGATCACATCGTACAAAATGGACTGTTGGTCCAATGGTTGGTTTATCTAATACCAGGTTTTGCCCACATTTGCTTAAAGTTGAATAACAAAATTTAAAAAGGGTGTATGCACTTCAGGGTCATCCATTCATGGAGGACTTATTTCTACTGCAGGACAATATGGCTCTTAAAGCAGAAGTGGAACAGAACTTACTGTATGCTGCAAAATGAGACGGGACATTTCTTTAAAATGACAGAACTCTTTAAACAGATTAACACCTATCATAACATGCAATGTTGACAGACTCCTGACTGTTTTGTTGGACTCTGCACCATGTACTGTCAATCTGACCACGCCGCACTGCACAAGATGAATTGGACGAGGGGATTAGACTTTTAATGGAAGAAATGGCCTGTAGTGTAGTAGGCTGTTATTAAGCTCAGAGAGGATGGATCAGACCTTGAAGGAGGAAGATAAAAGGTCATCCTAATTTGAAAGTCTCGTTCTGCTGTACTGATTCTGTATCCGCTGTTCAAACACATCTGTGGCTGGATTCTTTTAAAAATAACAAAAGAACGAGAAAACATCTGTGATCGCAATGTAGTGCAATCGGTAGTGTTTCATAATGAGGCTCAGAGTGCATCCCAGCAAATGAGACTCATGAGTGTCAGTGAAACTGGGTTTTGGAATTCACAGGTTACAGCTGTAGAAATCAACATTAAGTAACCTTCTAATAAAGTTTATTTCCAATGTGCACATTTTGTAAAAATATTACAAATGTGTGAATTAAGATTTAAATTTCAAATTTTCATTGCGCCTTGCTGTTATCTTTTTATAAAGCCTTTATAAATAACATTACCCCTGCACCTTTCATATTATAATCTCTGGATGTTCACCTCGTCATTCAAATGCACTGCTTGACTTTGCCGAACTGTTGTGGCACAGACAAGGCTTATGAGAGTTTCTTAGAGGCTGATAAGGACACCTGATTAGGGACAAGGAGACTGAGCAGCTGAGGAAAGTAGAAAATACCTGCCAAACACCAAAATGACAAAAATACGGGGCAGGAGAGATGGAAACTAATGTGAACGATGGACAGATAAGGAACGTGCTGAGCTAAGCAAACAATGAGCGCAAGAGAGATAATCATCACTGGAGCTAGCAGCTTGTAGCTCACAGCCAAAAGACAACGGCTTTCTTCTCTGTGCTGCTGCGACGTGACATTTCAGTGCAGAGGCTTTCCTGTTGTGCCTGCTGAATTGTCCACCCTCTCTGTGGTGGAGAATGCCATACTCCTAATGGCTGTGATCCGGCACTGTAACACAGTGACAGCCTTCCTCTAAGTCAACACTGACTGTGTTAATGGGTACCTGGAGAGACTGTGTGAGAGGACCACTAGGTTTATTAATGAACATGGAACAGCTTTATAAGCCTCCATTATTCAATGTTCCAATGTTCTTTAAAATGCTCATATCACATTAGTGTTTCTACAATTGGGATAATGAATGACACACATATACTGTATCGGCACATATTCAAGGTCATTGTGTTTAATTGTGTTGTGAAAAGTATAGAATAATCATTGGAATATGTTAAATTAGCTAGGCAGCTCTGTGTCAGTCACCATACTGCCTCAAGGCAGAACTATGTTACTGAGGCAGCCCGCGGCAGAAATTAAATAGATGTTTCATAATGGTAGCTCCTGGGTGATAAATATACTGTGTAGCTTCCATGTACATATTTGCATGTAAGCATTATTCTACTGTTTCATTTGCTGCTTTCTCTACATGTACACTATATAAACCATTATTCTTTTTTTTCGTTGTGAGAATAATGCTGAGTAGTACTCTATTAAAAGGTTAAGTGCGAGAAAAGTGAGAAAACAAATATGGCTTTAAAAACAAAGATAGATTAATGAATCGAAAAAGTGCAACCTGGGTTCACAGGTTTTGTTGTTGCTAGAACTAAAGGCAAGAGGCCTTTCTTCTCACCAGACACAGGGTGTCTGCAATAACCAGGCCTAACCACATCAGGAGAGCCTAGGACTGTAAGGAATGTTAGAAAGAAGAAAAGGGCATTCAGCTGCTCTGTAGAAACCACTAAGCTGTTCCACTGCTAGTAAGTAATTGATCTGACAATCCCATCCAGATATTTGTTGAAGTCACCAGCCTGCCTGGGTAGCTTGCTCCCTATGCCCGTCGCTCACTGTACTATATAAAGACATTCCACCTTGACCTTTGCTTTTCCCCATATTGTCCAGCAGTGTCCTTCGGTTTCAGGTTGTATTGTTGATTCTGAAGCAGTCCATTGGGTTGACTTTGTCTATGGCTGGCTTTACGGGTTTGGAATAAGCGAATCAGGTCTCCTCTTAATATTTTTTGTTCCAGACTATAAAGATTCAGCTCTTTAAGTCTGTAGGTGCTGGAAACTCCTTAAAGGGATGTATTTGGTTAGTCTTTCTTGGCCTGATTCCAGAACAGATTATGCTTTTTAACACTGTGACCACAATTGTACAGAGTATACTAAAAGTGGGTTAACAAGCACATTGTATAATTTTCACATAACACCTCTTGATTTAAATTCCACATTAAAGATAATGACCCAACAGGAAGAGGCTGGATTGTATTGTGGAATCAATTACTTTCTAGGAACCAAATGAGCATGAAGGGCTAACTATACTTCTCTTATCAATAAGATTTCCTAAAACAAAGTCCTTATTCTATCTTTAACAGCCTGGCCAGTCGCTGGGTGGGAGACCTCCTGGGAAAAACTAAGGCTGCTGCTGGAGGAGGTGTTAGTGTGACCAATAGGGAGCTCTCGCTCTTTGGTCTGTGTGGGTCCTAGTGCCCCAGTATAGTGACAGCAAAAAGACACCATCCTTTAGATGACATGTAAAACCAAGGTCCTCACTCTCCATGGTCATTAAAAATCCCGGGAGTTTCTCGAAAAGAGTAGGAGTGTTACCCTGGTATTAAAAAACACTCAGAGCAAAAGCTGGCAGACACTTTGTTAAACTTTAACTTCCCAACAAAAAAAAACAATTAAGCTGCTGAATATTTTGCTGAAAGAATTCTTTCTTGATTTTATCTCTTTAATGAGAAAATTGTAATTCAACTAATGACGGCTCAGAAAACCCTATACTGTTGTGCTGTCCTTGAAAAGCACCCTGATAAGGAGTCCTATTCTTAGGTGACTTGTATCACTGCGCCTGGTCATCCATGTGTGGAGGATAAAGCACAGGCTGGCTGAGAGCCAGACAAAGAAGAGCACAATCTGTACCTGTCGGAGAATATTCAATGTTATGGGCCATTAAAACACTAAACGACAAGGAAAAGAGCTGCCCGATCCTAGCATTTTCTATTTAAAAGACTTTCCACTTCAGTAATGTCTACAAACAGCACTCATTAACATCAACTGCCCTTCAGCAGGCAGCAAAGCAGAAATAAATTATTCAACTTTCCAAAAGAATCAAATTCCTCTGGGCGACAAAGGTAAATTTGTGCTCTGTCTTGTCACCCAGGTACTTTCCTTCTTGGTGACACTGAATTTGAATGTCACAGACAAGCAGACTTCTGTCAAAACCTTGAGATGGAAAGGAAAATGTAACACCCATGGGAACCATAAATTGACTTTCTCACACATCACACAAAGTAAAAATGTAAGTGATATGAAATTCAAAGGAAACATTTTTGTGTCAAATTCAACAGGATGTTTCTGTGTTGGATTTTACATCACACATCATGTCACTTTCAATAACCGATTATCCAATTCACGGTGGCCCGGAGACTATCCAGACAAGCATTTGACGAAAGGTATGTCACACCCTTGATGGGACACCAGTCCATCGCAGGGCAAACACACACACACAGGCCAGGCCAATTTTACAGAATCAAAATAACCAGCATGTCTTTGGACTGTGGGAGTGACATGGCCCAGACTCACACCCGTGATCACAGAGCTCAGTCCGAACTGGTGTGGCTACTTTTACAGTGCCATTCAGAAAAGCCTCATGTTTCAATGGACATTTTGTTTATTTTTGTATCCTCTGTTAGAGCTAAGAACCATACCACCCAATTCACAGCTGCAAGCTTACACAGGCCTGGAAGACTGCACTTGTATTCAGCTTTTTTGCACTAACCAGATAATATATTAGTCCTTTTTATTGGTCATTTGTACCAGTGCTGTTTTAATGGTATAAAGTTATTAGAGAGACAATATTAGAGGGATACAGTAAAGAAATCTCAATGTATTCAATGTTGATGTATTTACAAAGGAGCCTTTAAACGAGTGTTGGTCAAACATCAATCTGTGCCTTTGTGGTGTCCACAGTGAAAACACAGAGGGTGCAAGAGAACACGGAGAGGAACACTAAGCTGCCACCTGCCAAGAGTGAGCGTGCTTCCTGCCATGTAACTGTGCCAGTCAGTAGACGTGCACAATTCACACTGACAATAACAAGCCCCGCGGGTATCTGAGCAGCGCCACAGCTGAATTCCACACTGGTGCTCGATGCTCCTGTCCTCACCAACTGTTCAGCTAATGCTCTAACCAGGACCAATTTTCCCAGAAGCCAATTAACTTACCAGCATGTGTTTGGACTGTGAGAGGAGACCAGAGCACCCGGAGAAAACCCACATGAATGCAGGGAGAATATACACGTTCCACACATTCAGTATAACTCCCCAGGTCTGGAATTAAACCCAGGGCCTCAGGCCCGTGAGACAGCACTGCTAACCACTGCGCCACTGTGCTTCCCCTTGACTGTGCATGTTCACTTGATTTCATTCTACTGATCGAGTGGCACTATTTGGATTAGACCCCACAACCTCCAGGCTGTAGGGCTGAAGCACCTGGCAGGAGGTTCAGGCAAGTTATTAATACATTCTTCTTATTAATTTGGCTGACACTTACAGTACCTTGCTCAAGGGCAAATAGCCTTAGTTAGCCATAGTTTCCTACCTGAGTTTAAACTCACTGGAATCTTCCCGTTCAGACTCCAGAGCCCTAACACATCCATACGCCATCCTGAGATTATGTGCATTTTTGTATAATATATTCGAGTACAGGCAGCACAGTGGCGCAGTGGTTAGCATTGCCGTTTCACAGCACTGAGACCCTGGGGTTAATTCCAGATCTGGGGAGTTATCTGTGTGGAGCCTCTACAGTATATTCTCCCTGCCTTCATGTGGGTTTCCTCTGGCTGCTCTGGATTCCTCCCTAGACACACTAGTAGGTTAATTTGCTTCTGGAAAAACTGGCTCTGGTGTGAATGTGTGCGTGTCTGGTCTGGTTTGAGTGTTCGAGTGTCTGCTCTGGTGTGAGTGTTCGAGTGTCTGGTCTGGTGTGAGTGTGTGCGTGTCTGCTCTGGTGTGCGTGTGTGCGTGTCTGGTCTGGTGTGAAAGTGTGCGTGTCCGGTCTGGTGTGAGTGTGTGAGTGTCTGGTCTGGTGTGAGTGTGTGAGTGTCTGGTGTGTGTGCGTGTGTGAGTGTCTGGTCTGGTGTGAAAGTGTGCGTGTCTGGTCTGGTGTGAGTGTGTGAGTGTCTGGTCTGGTGTGAGTGTGTGAGTGTCTGGTGTGTGTGCGTGTGTGAGTGTCTTGTACTGGTGTGAAAGTGTGCATGTCTGGTCTGGTGTGAGTGTGTGAGTGTCTGGTGTGTGTGCGTGTGTGCGTGTCTGGTCTGGTGTGAATGTGTGGGTGTCTGGTCTGGTGTGAGTGTGTGAGTGTCTGGTCTGGTGTGAGTGTGTGAGTGTCTGGTGTGTGTGCGTGTGTGAGTGTCTGGTCTGGTGTGAATGTGTGCGTGTCTGGTCTGGTGTGAATCTGTGCGTGTCTGGTCTGGTGTGAATGTGTGAGTGTCTGGTCTGGTGTGCGTGTGTGAGTGTTTGGTCTGGTATGAGTGTGTGAGTGTCTGGTGTGTGTGCCCTGCAATGGCCTGGTGTCCTGCTTATACAGGGTGTATCCTGCTTTGTGCCTGCTACTTGCTGGGATAGGCTCCAGCTCTCCCACAGCCCGGAGTTGGATGAATCAGTTGGAAAATGGATAGATATTCTAGTACTTTCTTTGGTAAGCATAAGCCCGGTTTCCAAACCCAGCTGTCTAAGGCATGACAGCCCAGTCATCAGTAGAAATCTGTACAAATAGTGTACAACAATGATAAGAAAACCAAAGAGCAGCTGTGGAGTCAATGACCAGAAACAAATAAGAGCAGGTTTTGAAAAGAAGAGCTGATTACCAATGTTTACAACACAGCTGGGCAGGGAGTAAAATGTCTGGCAAACACAGGGTGCTGTCACCCAAAAGCTATTCTATAACTACATATATCCTCTTAAAATGTTTTGAGCTAACATCGGAATGAAGTGACAAGAGAAATATCAAGGTGATGCTCCACCTCCTCAACTATGTCAAGCTACAAAAAGTACCCTACTGTAGAAGTCCCAGGTGTAAAGGCCATGCATATCATACACACAAAGGGAAAATGAAAGGCATAAGGGTTTGATCTTTGTGTTCAAAATCATAAAAGGAACTGACAAAGACAACCTTCTGAGCCAGAAGAAAACCAGAGGTTTGCCTTCACATTAAGTAATTCTGGTGCTCGGAATATAAACAACTAATCAAGCAGTGGAAGTTGTATCTTTGTGATCCTTCAAGAAGCACGTTGATGAAAATCTTGGATCAATCGTCTATTAGGGAAGAACCGAACAAGAAATATAGACCAAGAAGCAGAAAGAAGAACTTCTCCCCTAGGTGCCCACTCACTCAGGGTCATAAGAGCTGAGAGCAATGAGGAAAGAAAGGACATTTAAAATCACAGGCCTGTGTAGATATTGAGGAGACACTCCTGTCCTGTCAATGCGGATAATAAGAAGACAAAAACTTGACAAAATGGCAAAAGTGATTTGTTTCTACAGCCTCAGCTAACGAGGCAGTCTGATTTGAGTCAGCATCAAGCCGGCTCCCCATCAAGGCACAGCGGAGAACTTAACCGACATGTCAGACTCATTCACATACCCAGCGTGCCACGAGACTGTGACTGGAGCCTTGAGTTAATCAAAGAGCAAGTTCAGCCTCAGGGGAAAAAGACTGGGAAGGAGAAGAAGGAGCTTGAAATCCCAACGATCAACTGAACCAGCCAGTGTTTCAAGCATACAGACCTGCCGGGGAAAGCTAGCACATCCGACAACAGGCTTGTTTCTGTTGCCTGTTTTAATATCTCTTCTTCATATAATCAATAATAATAATAATTGCTTACACTTATATAGCGCTTTTCTGGAGACTCCACTCAAAGCGCTTTACAGGTAATGGGGACTCCCCTCCACCACCACCAGTGTGCAGCCCCACCTGGATGATGCGACGGCAGCCATAGTGCGCCAGAACGCTCACCACACATCAGCTATCAGTGGGGAGGAGAGCAGAGTAATGTAGCCAATTCATAGAGGGGGAGTATTAGGAGGCCATGATTGGTAAGGGCCAATGGGAAATTTGGCCAGGACGCCGGGGTTACACCACTACTCTTTTCGAGAAACGCCCTGGGATTTTTAATGACCACAGAGAGTCAGGACCTCGGTTTTACGTCTCATCCGAAGGACGGCGCCAGTTCACAGTATAGTGTCCCCATCACTATACTGGGGCATTAGGACCCACATGGACTGCATGGTGAGCGCCCCCTGTTGGCCCCACTAACACCTCTTCCAGCAGCAACCTTAGTTTTTCCCAGGAGGTCTCCCATCCAGGTACTGACCAGGCTCACACCTGCTGAGCTTCAGTGGGCTACCAACGTTGCAGGGTGATATGGCTGCTGGCAGCATATACTGTACAGTGTATTCAGGACAATGCGGAAATAGAGGTTGAAATCTCCCAGGATGTACAGTATTTGAACTACAACTCAGGAGTTCACCTGAAATGAAAGTTACTGTCATGGATGTCGGAGAGGCATACCGTGGAATGGCAGGCTATTGTATTTTAATACTATTGACTATGCAACACATTTAAGTACTTATCAGTTATTATCATATCACCTAACTGTGCTGGTTATATCAGTTTTCTACATTAATTGGTCTAAGTACTACTCACAAGTACTTCCCTGCCCTGACATTTGTTTTATCAGTATTTTACCAACAACCCCCAACCCCACCCCACTACTGTATGTCAAAGTATTATGGGCTAATTCAACCATTCTGGCAAATAAGCCATTCGATAAGGACGTTTTCACTGCCCCAAAAGAAACGAAGAGCCAGAATGAATGAAATTGACAATGTTAAAATGTTTACTGCATAATTGCATAAGAATTGTTAACCAACTTATTATTTAGAAAATGAAGAAAAGGTGTAACATTTAAACAATAATATGAGATGGTCTACCAAAAAAGTATTGTTTCATACACATTTTCTTTGTATAGTAGCTTTAAATTAAGATATTTTACACCGAATTCCTCAATGTAAATGAACACTACAAAGGTCTTTTAAAGTAAGTATATAGAGTATAGCCTACAGCAAAGTTCATAAAATGAGTTGAAATATTAATATATAATAGAATTTCACGCTATTCCGCACTATGTCCTGACCTTCCTATTTATCCAGTACTTACTGCATGATTTCCAAATCCTCAGTTCAAACATTAACTCACATTATTTGCACATACAGTACTAACTACCCATTATGATGATAATCCCCTTCCAAGAAGCGTGAACGACTGGAGAAGGAGAAACGTGGAAGAGATTGTCAGTGGAGATATGATGCAAACGAATGTACACCAGCTCAGTCCTTACTGCCAACTTCCTGTTTCAACTTTACAGGGCCAGCACGATACAACGCTTTCAAAGCAACGCAAAGTAACGCAACCACCAGCGACAAGCACATGAACAACGATGAAGTCGGATGATATTATTTTAAGTGCACCAATAAAAATAAGCATTACTTTTAAATATTATATAGAACTACACATTCTTCGGGCTGTAGGCTGCTCACTAGACACTTCGGATGTTTTTATTTCTGATAATAATTCATTTAACACAAATAAACAAGGCTGCGACCTATTTAAAGTACAAGAAACTATTCTGCAAGGACAAAGAAGGGGTTGTATTTGCTGCTGGTGAGGCAAAAAACACAATTCACATCCGAGGCTTCTTTTTTGTTGTTTATGACATTAAGTACTGATTTTTGACGGGAGACTGGACGATCAATGGTTGCCTGGGGCATAAACTGCACTAAATGACCGTACCGCACGCAAAAAAGAAAGAGCGGAGAGGTGTACCGTGCAAAGCGATTTCCGTTTCAGTTTTAGATACAGTGAGCAAAACACAAGCGCAAAACTGCCGGACAGATACAGATAAATGTCACCGCGACGATGTTGGACGCTGCCGAGCTGGTCGCGGCGCAGAGATGGGAGCGCTTACCTTAGCCAGGGCAGGTTGTGCTGTGAGATCAGCCTGCAGGATGACCCGCAGGAAAGGCAGATGCAGACTTGACCGACTGGTAAGCTCTTAGTCTTGGGGGAGAAAAAAAAATAAATTAAATTGCACACCGTTAAAAGAAAAGCGGTCTGCAATTGACTCGTCTTCTAATGTCCAGATGGAAATAAAGCTCTCGGAAAATCAGGTGCATTCCTTCAAAGTCTGGATAAATGTATCCCTTCTGCCTCAGTGTTCAAGTAACAGGAAATTTCCATAGGCTTGCCGTGTTATTTCAGAAGGATTGGGATCCGGGTCTGATTCGGACCTGCAGCTGGCGTCTCGCAGTATATAGGCGACGTATACACTGTATTAGCAAAATCAAGCAATGGTCTGTATTCGCCAGTTAATATCGCAGCCAAGATGACAGATGTCGCCGACTACAACCGGGGATGTAAGCACTCATCGTGTGCCGGCGGCTCTTGTTCGAAGGAAACAGCCGTTTTGCTGGAATTAAAGGGATACATACATCACCACAGCTCTTGCGGTGCCGTGTGTTTCGGCTTCTGGAATGATGCTTCTCGCTAGGGCATGTAAGCCAGTGCTTCGCCCGCCCTCTTTCCTGAATTGTTCCTCTTTTGCCGACTGAAAGACTGAAACCCCGGAGATGACTTTCACGGAGAATCTGTGAAGGTTGCTCAATGACGGCCTGCTGCAAGCTGCAAGCGACCTTACCAGGAAATAGGCATATATAGGCAGCGCGTTTAATGTGTCTGTTTCTGCGGAATATAACAAGCAAAACACTATGCAGTATCTGGAGACGATACAGCCTTTAGTTTCTTTTTCTACACTGTTATGCACTTTCTTGCGAACAAGGATACTGTAAAGGCACCAATTGGGTTGTTAGGTTTTATTCTGTTGATTATATAAATAAACTCCACGGAGCCTACGGCCAGCACACATTTCCATGTCTCGTTAATGTGTGCTGGCCGGTTCGGTGGTGTCGTTCACATGAGGCAGCTGAGGTGACTTCGGAGCGCTTTCTCTCCGCCACCGCCTTTAATTATAAGGACAATTATTAAGCTAAGAGAGCACAGTGACATCAGGGAGCAGGTTCCCATGGTTTTCACTGGTCAGCTGAACAAGAGCATGAGATTACCCTGCCTTTACATCTAAGTGCAGTATCAGAGCCCTTTTAAGCGCGGAAGACCGCCACAGGTGCTATTTTTAGGATCCCTGTTGGATCTCCTTGGAAGGCAAACTGTGGGCTAAGATCTGGAGTGTTGTAACAACGGGGCACACTGAGCAGAGCCCGTGTCAAGAAGGGGAAGTGCAATTTTAAAATTGCTTGATAATGAGATATCGTGTTCTTGACATGACGTAAACGACTCGCGTTTCGCAGACAGGAGAGACAGCACATCCAACTTCAGCGCCGGGACGTAGAGCTGATGTCTCACCCACTCGGTTATATAGGCCAGAGCACAGCCTAGTGAAAGTTTTAAAGACACAGCTTTTATTATGCTGGTGATTGAGGTTTTGCATTGTTTCAGCCAGGTCCTACTGACATCCGACACCAGTACACGACATCGGGTTCAAAATACCACACTCAGCGGAAAACATATTGTACATCTTTACATACATATACAGTGTGTAGCAGTTTTAAAAATTAGATAATGTAGATATGGAAGAGAATGGATGTCAGCAATTTAAAGTGCAGAACAGATCAATCCCAAACATATCAAAGACTAGACAGCAGTGGTCGTAATGGGTTAATAAATCAGTTAAATTATAAAATGAGAAAAAAAAACACAGGGACAAAGATAACACTTTAAATGTGTTACGAAAGATTAGAATTGAGTTGAAGAAATGGAGGTTGCATGGACAGGTAATGAACAATGTCCAAAGCAAATATAAATTGGGATTCTTTATTCTGTATTACAAGAGCGAAAGAACAGTAAGACACAGAGCAAAAGGTTACAGAGAAACTTTAATGGGCAGCTTGAATGATAAAAGGGAAATGGCTTAAATGGTAAATATTTCACTCAAGAAAAAATTAACACCACCCCCCAGGCAGAGGATGGACAAGTTTCTTAAGAAGCACTTAAGATCAAGCTCCATGCCCAATAGTAATGAAAACACATTTCCAAATGTACTTAAGGAAACGAGATGTTATTCATCCTGTTAACAGATTTGCAAGGCACTATATTACAGTCTTACAAGTACCTCATTTATTCTAGTGTTTCTTTATTTTTGGAGTTACCTGTACCAGCAGCAATTTTTTTCTATTCTGCTGAGCTCCCAGACATAATGTTATGTCAAGGGGGGCTATCAAAGTGTTGGATTTGCAAGCACCCAATTCTTAACAACATTAGGTAGCCTTTGAAATGTACTGTACACACCTGTCTTTAGCAGATTGTCCCAAAAGCAATAAACATTGTGATAAAATGATACTATTTTTATAGAGGTCAAAACCAACTAAAGTGATATCGTTATGACCAATTGCTGTTTATGTCATTATTACCCACCTTCTATGGTGGATGGGCTAGAGGCCAAGTAGGCTGGACTTGAAGAGAGACATGGTGATGACAGGAGACAGAGGACAGAAGCAAGAGTAGAAGCAATTGCACCATGAGAGTTTCCTTCACAGATGGGGACTAAAGAATTTATTGGTATTCTGAGCACCTAAATGACTGACTCCAGGCTTTATGAAAGGGACCGGTTTTATATTTGTGGAAATACTCTTTTCTTATTGGTGGTAACAACCAGGCTTAAATATCTCTCCTGTATTTACAATGATGTATTATTTTGATTGGAGAAAAAAAGTTCTCATTTGTTTAGCGTGTGTTTTAGAGAAGAGATTTAGTTCCAGTTAGTATCTTTTATTTGATAAGACATGGACTCCCTCAGCTGTGTATTTTTAAACATGAGCTTTTTTTATATACAATTTGCTGCCTGTATATAACTTTGTTACCACACTGTACCAGAATAATAAAGAAAACATGTGACACTCAATATTCCCTGGTGACAAGAGGAGTGTAAATGCTGCTTTTTACAAATTTGCATGCATAGCAAGCTGGTGTCGGGACATGATAAAGAATGACTTCATATTTTGTTATTTTAACCCCTCTTAATTGTAAATTAAGGAGTCTTGTTGTTCTGCAATCTATTGTTAAAATGCAGTGTGTGCTGATGGGGGATGGATACTGGCCACAAGCAGTGGCCTTGATTTAGATCATAGCTGTTAGGGGTAAAGGGATAGAAACTAGTTGTAGCGCTTGTTTGTCGCCATTCGTACTTGTCAGTTTATTTAGGATTTTATTTCTTGTTGGAGAGAGGAGAAGCCACCTCCTTAAGCAGATTAGCAACAAAAAAAGCCAATTCACTGACCCGAGGACTGGAGAGTAAAACAGGACAGTTTGATTCAGTTCAATTAATCAATTTGAAAAAATTTCATTCATGCTGAATGGAATAGACCCATTGATGCACATGACTGAGTCTGATTCAATTCAACTGCATAGTACTGCTCTATCACAGACTCTGGGAAATTACTAAAATGGAGACAGCCTTATTCAGTTATGCAAAGTGACACACCAGAGGACTGGGTTGCTGTAATGGGATATTTAAAGTAGGCAGGGAAATAGTTCCCATTTGTCCTAGGACAGGTCCCAGGAAATCAGAGCACAGTGGGAGCTTAGGTGTGTTTTGCAGATAAATAAAGCACAATTAAGCCACCTAGTGTTTGTTCTGAGCATTGTCCGATAATTGAAAAGAATGGAAGACTGATGTGGATGGCACGGTGGCTCAGTGCTTAGAATTGTTCTTCCCCACGTTTGTGTGGGTCTCCTCCAACAGCCCAAAGTCTAAGCTAAAATGTGAGTAAGAAACATCGCAATTTCTACATGGCTCACGAGTATGCTATGTTAAGTACTGTATGTATCAATCTGTTGACTTCGTTATTTGTATTATGACATCATTCCTGGATTAAACCTATATTTATTTTATCTTAAACGTGGAATACGTCTATCTTTAATGGCAACAACGACCATTACCGTGTGTCAGATGGGTGCTATTAAAGCTGTGAAATATAGTATAATGGCACTGGAACGTGTTGAAAATTTCTACGGAATAGAGATCTTGATGGCACAAGAAGGAACGGGTCTATTTGAAAAACAAACAGCTGTTGTTACGACACCTTGAGGAAACAGCGCCATCTGTCGACAAGCGCTGTCAGCGCCCGCAGGAAAGAGATTCGCCGTCAGATCGTTGCGGAAACGCGTGTATGAAGTTTGGACGTTTGCGGCCCTTGTAGTGAAGTAGTGAACCAGGAAGAGCTGGTGGTTTTGTCACAGAAAGATTTGAATTATTTTCAAATTTGCATACGTTGCTGCTGTTTTAACGGAGAAGGGGAAAAATGTAACAACTAAAAATTAATCACCATGTTTATGACGGCAGGTACTTTGAGTGTTTGGGATGTTGGGAGACTGTGCAGGCTTTAAAACAGTGCAGCTGCACACATACAGTACATTGAGGAATACTCATTTCACTACATTAAAATAAATTAATTTTTATATAAGGCTTCTGTTTGCATGGCATTGGAGCTTCAGAAACGAGACACGATTTCAGTAGAATACTCTCCGTGTCTTGTGTCTATAACGTACTATTGTTATATTACATTTTTAATTTTCAGCGTGTTGGGGAAACACATACTGTACCATAGCAGCAGACACTTGTGCTATACTATCGATTTAGCCGCAGGGGATAGTGTGTAGTAGAAAAGCCACATTACAACGCTACTTTTCACTATTTTGACAGCTCGATACGCTTAACAACGACCCGAAAGCTGAAGAAAAGGGTCAAATAAACAACCCACAAGCCTCTTCCCAGCCGGGAGGCTTGTATGCACGCATGTTTCCTGGCGTGCCCTATGCATGGCACTCCACACTCCCATGAATGGTAACAGTGTCGGTTCTACAGCCGTGTCCAGGCGTCTGTCAGGCCTGGTGCAGATCACAGACTGCCTTTACCTCAGCAACGGCTCTGCCGCCAACGACATCGCTCTGGTCTCCGCCTGCAAGATCACCTGCATCGTCAGCGCGACCAGAGACGCCGCGAACACCCCCTGCCCCTCGGTGAAGCACGTCCGGGTCCCGGTAACCGACTCGCCGCTCTCGCCCCTTGGCGATTTTTTCGACACCGTGGCCGACACGATCCAGCAGGTGGGAGAGCAGCACGGCCGGACTCTGGTGCACTGCAACGCGGGGGTCAGCCGATCGGCCGCGCTGTGTCTGGCCTACCTCATGAAGCACCGCAGCATGACCCTCCGGGAGGCTCACACCTGGGTGAGGACTCGGAGGCCCATCGTGAGGCCCAACAGGGGCTTCTGGAAGCAGCTGATCAGCTATGAACACAAGCTTTATGGGAGTACCACAGTGAAGATGGTAGCATCATCCATCGGAGAGATACCAGATATATACAAAGAAGAAGTTAGGGATATGATCCCGTATTGAACATTACAGTCAGCTATAATAGCAAAACTGCAATTCTTCTAAGCTTCTGTACATGCTGATCTGATGTGATGATAATATATACTGCATAGTGCAAGCCATACGTTACTGGGACAAATAATCCCGTGGCAAAAACATCTTATGTGAAGTTTCTATTGTAAGGTCATAGCCTTACTTGCCAAATAACTGCTTCTTAAGGTTTTCTTTTTTCTCTGTTAAATAAATAGTATACTGTACATTCATTAAGGATCTTAAGAATACATATCCCAAGAGGGGTTTCAAAAATAATTGCAGGAAAACTATAAAGTTATAAATGTATAAGGATGTCTCTACATCTAGAATTTGTCATTTTCTAATAGAGTTTTAAAATGCATCTCCTTTATTGCTGCAAGTTTCTTTTATATTTGATTAATGTGCAATAAAATTAAATATTTCCGATTTATAATTTGATATGGTTTATTGAAACTGAAGGACCCAGACGTGAGAATGTTTGTGTCTGAGTGAACAAAAATCTCATAATGGCCTAATCCCAAAAACCTTCCAGTATCAATGTGGAATTTGACAAGACAGTGTCATTTGCTGAATTATACTGAAGTGACGAGCGCTTCATAAGCATAAAACTTTATATCCTACAGCAGGTGTGAAAAAAGGAGAACAAAATGCAACTATCTGGCATATTAACTTAGCTTTTAGTGACATCTAGTGGTTATTATGAGAAGTTTCTATCAGTCTGAATTTCAAGAGAGAATTTTTTCTGAATAGCATATGGTGCAGTTCTGCATTGAGCAAGCATGGTGACTGACACATTCAGAAACTTGCGGTGCTTTGCCACAGATCTTATTAGGCCCCTGAAAGATAGGCTAAGAAGGTAAAATACATGCACATTTTATTTTTTTAGACCCAAAATAAGTAACCCAAAATATAAAGTACAATTGATTTGTAAAACACCATTTGACTTCATCAGATAAAAATAAAGAGTCTCCTCTGTAAACATCCATCTCTCCCTTATCAGTGAAATGTCCCTCCTGGGTTGCCATGGGGCAGGTAGGACTGGCAGCACACAGTCACTCTGTTCCTGGTTGAGATGCCAGTCCACCACAAGGCCACTGAGCAGAATGCTTTACTGTAGGACCCCCTGCTAGATCCAGGCTTTCACAGCTGGAAGGAAAGCAGAATAACAGGACGTGTGCGACAGCAGTGCTACATCACTGTGAACACCCCACCGCCGTTTAATTCTGTTTTTACTAGCAGTGTCTGGGATCTCACAATAAGATAAACATCTAATAGATCTATTGGTTAAACAAGTATCCCTGAAACCAGTTACTTATTAGTGTAACTAGGCTGGTTCAGCACCACCAGGCACTTCAGACTAAGTTGTGGAAATTGAGCAAACACTGTGCTCCTCCATCCAACCTGTCTGTGTTTGATGACTTTGGATTATGGGAAGAAATAAACACACTGATACGGACACAGTCACCGGCCACTACATGCAGACTCGATTAATTACAGCCCATAAGCCTTTTAACTTTTTCACTGAAGGCTCTCTGACATGATTTCTGCAGTCTGGTGCTTTAAATGTGCTTCTGGCCAGCTAGACAGCTACTGTAACAGCTAGATAAACAGTGAGGACGCATTTTAAGAATTTTCTGTAGATGGCAATAGTGCACTGGCAAAGAGTTTCTGTGCTGGAATTTAAAAAAAGGACAGTTTGTGTGCTTTTCCCATCAAACCATTGTTTCCCATAAAAAATATTACATTAAATGTTTTCAGATATTAAAATGCATAAATCTTCAGCCTTCAACAATGTTTCATCACCAGCACATCCAGTTAGATTTAGCCCCAGCTGCAGTGTGAGAGAATGAAGTCAAAGGAGTAGTCTTGCATTAATGTAGTTTATTTCCAGAATGAAAACACAGCCCAATTACAGTCCCTCCTACTGTATTAAGTAAAAAAAAGATATTTCTTTATATTGGTAAAAGACTGATACTTTTTGAAGTAGTATTATACATTAGCCTTGTATTTGTGAAACACATTAGTGCGGTTGCAAATAAAATACGAATTAGTTGTGTTCTCCATCTTTCTTTCCAAGCCACACAGTGTTTGGGCGAGTGAAGAAATCTCCTGAGCCAGATGACCAGTCAAGAGAGCCTGTGTCACGCCCTCTACAGCTAGAGGGCGCTCCTACTCTGTCCTGTTCCT